GGGGCTTCGGCTCTGAACCGATCCAAGCGAGGCCTGTGCTCGGCCATCTGAACGGCCTCCAGTGCCTTACACTTTCCTTCCTTCCTCCTTCCTTCCTTCCTTCCTTCCTTCCTTCCTTCCTTCCTTCCTTCCTGCCTCACTCCCTCCCTCCCACCTTCCCTCCCTTCCTCCCTCCCTCCCTTTCCTCCCCTCCCTCCCTTCCTCCCTCCCTCCCTTTCCTCCCTTCCTCCCTCCTTCCTTCCTCCCTCCCTCCCTTCCTCCCTCCCTTCCTCCCTCCGCCCCTCCCTCCCCTCTGCCTTCCTTCTGCCTGCCTGCCTTCTTTCTCTCTCCTTCCTTCTTCCTTCCTTCCTTCCTTCCTTCCTCCCTCCCTCCCTCCCTCCCTCCCTCCCTCCCTTACTTCCTTCCTTCCTCCCTTCCTCCCTTCCTTCCTTCCTTCCTTCCTTCCTGCCTCACTCCCTCCCTCCCACCTTCCCTCCCTCCCTCCCTCCCTCCCTTACTCTTCCCCCCACCCGCTTTCTTGCTTTCTTTGGTTTTGGGCCACACCCTGCAGTGCTCAGGGCTTACTCCTGGCTCTGCCCTCAGAGATCACTCCTGACAGTGCTTGGGGGACCACGCGGGGTTCCAGGATCAAGGTAAATGGCTACTTGCTGTACTGTCACTCGCGCCTCAAGCTTCTTTAATGTGAAAAATTAAATCGCGCATTCAGCCTGATAGTTAGGTCCTATGAAAACCCTGGGAAACTGAATTCCCTGCAGAACAGCCGCCGCTTACACAGAAGGGAGTCTATCAAGTCATCTTCAACTCCCCACAGTTATATAAAACTTACCGGAATTTCTAGCTGGGTTCGTCTCTCCGTGATAAAATCGGCCCCCTCTTCCTCGACTAATGACCAGACTGCATGGGCGGACACATTCCTGGGAACTCATTGAGCGCTTAAAGCTCCTTTTAAGAAAAAAAAAAATTAAACCTTAATCTTATCTGCTAAAAACAGGGCCAGAAAGATAGGGCCTTAATCTTATCTGCTAAAAAAATAACACAGGGCCAGAAAGATAGTTCAGTGGGTAGGGCAGTTGCCTGGGGTGACCGACCTGCGTTGGATCCCCGGCATCCTATTGAGTCCCCTGAGCACTGCCAGGAGTAACCCCTGAGATCATCAGGTGTGGCCCCAAAACAGAAATGCCAAAACTCCCAAACCAACCCCCTCCCCCCAAACAAAGCAGCACCCCTTTCCTGTGAGGGTGCCTTTGCGCAGAACAGACATTTCTGCCTTTGCGCAGAACAGACATTGCGCAGAACAGACACGGGAACAGACATTTCTCTCACAACCCGCCCGTCCGAACGCAGGAGAAACAAAAACTTAAGCTGCGGCCAGGATTTTCTCGTCCCTGTCCTGCTTGGGGCAGGGAAAGCTTTTATAATTTTTTCTGCTCCGGGGCTTAATATTTTAAAATATTGTTCTTGGGGCCAGAGCGATAGCACAGCGAGTAGGGCGCTCGTCTTGCACATGGCCTACCCGGGTTCGATTCCCAGCACACCATATGGTCCCCCGAGCATTGCCTGGAGTAATTCCTGAGTACAGAGCCAGTAGTAACGCCTGTGCATCGCTGGGTGTGACCCAAAAAGCAAAAAAACTCCAAAAAACAACAACAACAAAAAACTTTCATTGAAAGAAAGTAACCCTCCCCAAACCAAAAACCCGTGACATACCCGTGGGGAAAGTGTTTAGTCTGACGTGTAACTGTATGCTTAGCTTGTGTCTGACCGAGGAAACAAGTGCAGAGGAAGATTGCCCAGCGGCGTGGGAGGGGGCCGGGCGGACGCTGGTGCGGCCGAGGCAGGAGCCAGGTTTTGAGTCCCAGGTTCTTCAATATTTTCAAGCAAGGAAAGATGCTCCGGCCTTAGCGCCGGCTGACTCTCAGGGATCATTGCCCATTTCCTGAGTTTCCCTCAGGTCAGTGGAGGAGGCTTCAGGCAGAGTTGGCCGTTCCTGGGAAGCACGGAACGCTGAGACAGACCTTAGGGGCGGAACGCGTGTCGGAATGTGTGTCGGGTATGGGGAGAGATGCAACATCGTGTGAGGAAGCTGTGGTCCCTCCCTCACTGGCAAGGGGAAACTGAGGTTTCCTCCTCCTGTTTCTTACTCGGCCAACTAAGCCTGACCCCAAAAACTGATGCTGGCTCAGTCCTCGGGAAGACACGAAGGGCCTCCTCAGGCAAGCTCTTAGGCACTTGCAAAAATGATGGGGTTCGCCTTGCATGGTGCAAGCCTGCCTGTGGGGTTCCGGGCTCCCCTGTGCCCGTCTCCACACCTGGCGTGGCTCCAATAGGATTCGTAAGAAACGCTGCCTCTGGGGGGAAGAGGCAGCTATTTTTTTTTAATTTTTATTAGTGAAATACCTTGAAATACAGTTGCAGACTTACAAGTTTTTGTGCTTGGGTTTCAGTTATACAATGATGGAGTACCCATCCCTCCACCAGTGCCCATTCTCCACCACCACTGATCCCAGTAGCCCTCCCATCCCCCACACCCCCCATCCCACCCTGCCTCTGTGGCAGGGCATTCCCTTTTGTTCTCTCTCCTTGTGGGTGCTGTGGTTTGCAAAAGAGACATTGAGTGGCAATCATGTTCGGTCTAGAGTCTACTTTCAGCATGCTTCTCCCATCCTGGGAGGATCCTCCCAGCACCCTTTCTTTGGTGCTCCCTTCTCTAGCTGAGCTGAGGCAGCTTTGATTTTGTCCTTCAGGGCTCACCTGGGAGCCAGCAGACGAGGCAGTGCGAGCAGCTGGGGTGCCTGGACCTTCTTCCCGGTGAGCTTGTCCTGGCAGCTGTCCGCGGACTGGAGCCCCCCAGGTGCAGCCCCCACAGGAGACGGGGCCACCACCCGAGCAGGTGCCACTGACATCGGTAAGGATCTGGACTGAGCCAACAGCTCCAGATGTTTTTGGCTTTCTAGACTCTGATGTATTGGCCAAGGGTGAGACGTGGGTCGCTGAATGCAAGGCAAGCGCCCTGTCGGCTGTACTCTCAGGCCGCTCCCGGGGTCTCGTCAAAACCCAAAATACAAATTCTAGTTGGGGCCACAGAGATCGGACAAGGGGCAGCCGCTTGCCCTGCATGTGGGGGATGCCGGTGCCAGTGCCACTGGGGGCTGGTCAAGTGGGAAGCCAGGGAGGAGGCCGTGAGGGCGGAACCTCCACCTCTGCCCCCTTCCCCCCCAGGTGCCCGCTGAATGCCGCCTGCCTGGCGAGGTCTGCAGTGGAGAGCCCAGCAGCTCCTGAACAGCTCAGCCGTTGCCGCTAACGCCGCTCCCAGGATCCGCTTGTCCTGCTCAGGTGGGAGATGCTGTCCCCTTTCAGGGGCTTGGGCGGGAGCTGGGAGTGCCCCTTGCAGGAAGGGCGAGTCAGCCCTGCCCTCTGCACCCTCGCAGAATAGAATTCCAGGAGAAATAGTGAAGCAAAGTCATCTTTATTCAAAGAAATTTAGGAAGACAGGACGGAGAAAAATGTGTTTTGTTTTGGGGCCACACGCTGCTCGGGGAAGTCTATGGGATGCCAGGGATCGAACCCAGCTGGCCCCGTGCAAGCAAGGGTCCTCCTCCCCGCAGGACTGTCTCTGGCCCCAGGAATACACCGTTAAGAGTCTGGGGCAGAGCTGGAGCAGATGGCACAGCGGGTAGGGCGTTTGGCTTGTACAAGGCTGACCCGGGTTGGATTCCCAGCATCCCGTAGGGTCCCCCCAGCACCGCCAGGAATTCCTGAGTGCATGAGCCAGGAGGAACCCCTGTGCATCTCTGGGTGTGACCCAAAAAGCCAAAAAAAAAAAAAGTCCGTGACACTGAGTGGTGGGGGGCAGAGAAGGCGACCTAGCCGCAGCCAGCCTGCAGAAGGGCTTGGCTAGTCGGGGAGGCGTCCCCCAGGGCCAGCGGCCGCCCTCCTGCAGCGTCCCCGGGCCTTGGGCTTCTCCCAGGTCCCCGCTGCCAGGTGGGGCTCAGGCTCTGCGTCTGGGAGGGAGGGAGGGAGGGAGGGGGAGAGAGGGAGAGGGGGTCCTCCCGCCCCGGCCTGGGCTCTGTGGCCAGCGCGCCCAACCCCCTCCCCACCTTCCTGCTCTCCTGGGTCACGCCCGGCGGTGCCCGGGTCGAACCCGCGTCGGCTCCGACCCCAGTTTTCTCCTGCGCTTTGCTACTTCCCCAAAGCTCGTGCCCAGGACGTCGAGGGGTCCCGGGATGCGAGGGTCGCGGGGTCCCGGGGGTCGTGTGGTTCCGGGGTGCATGAGTCCCGGGGTGATGCGTCGCGGGGTCCCGGAGTGAGGGGTCGCGGGGTCACGAGGTGCGTGAGTCCCGGGGCTGCGAGGGGCGCGGGGTCCCGGGGTGTGAGGGTCGCGGGGTCCCGGAGTGAGGGGTCCCGGGTCGCGGGGTCACGAGGTGCGCGAGTCCCGGGGCTGCGAGGGTCCCGGGGCCCCGCAGTGAGGGGTCCCGGGGTGCGAGGGCCACAAGGTGCGTGAGTCCCGGGGTCCCGGGGTGCGGAGCCCCGAGTTCCCGGGCCGCGGCGAATCGCCGCCACGCGCCACCCCCGCCCTCCCCCGCGCCCCGCGCCGGAGTCCCGGGCGACCCCGCGCCGGCCCCGCCCCTTCCGCCCGAGGCCCCTCCCGCCCGGCCCGCAGCCCCGCCCCTTCCGGGCCGGCCCCGCCCCTCGGCCGGGCCCCGCCCCTTCCGGCCGGCTGCGCGGCGCCGCGGGGGCCGACGGGAGCGGCGGGCGCGGAGCGGCGCACTGCGCGGGGGGGCGGGGGGCGCGGGGCGCGGGCGGCGGGGCGCGGGGCGCGGCGCGGGGGGCGGCGCGGCGGGCGCGGCGGGCGGCGGGCGGCGCGCGGCGCGCGGCGGGCGGGGCGCGCGGGCGGGGGCGCGCGGGGCGCGGGGCGCGCGGGGCGGCGGGCGGCGCGTCCCCCCCGTTGCCGCGATGGTGCGGGCCGGGGGCGCGCGGCTCCCGCGCTCGGGCGGGCGGGGCGGGCGCCGTTGGCCAGCGAGCCCCGCGGGCCGGGCCGGGCCGGGCGGCCGCCAGCATGTCCGAGCCGGCCGTGCCCGCCGACCTGTTCCGCGACGTCAAGTACTACGCGGTGGGCGACCTGGACCCGCAGGTGCCGCGGGGGGCCGGGCCGGGGGCGCGGGCCGGGGCGCGGGGGGACGCGGCCGGGCCGGGGGCGCGGGCCGGGGACTGGCCGGGGCGCGGGGTCCCGCGCGGGCCGGGGCAGGCCTGGGGGCGCGGGGGCGCGCGGGGCCGGGGGTCGGGCGCTGGGGGCGCGCGGGCACGTGGCTCGCGCCCCGAGCTGTCACCGCCGTTGCCACCCGGAAGCGCCCGGACGCGGCTGTCCCGGGCCCTGCCCCGCCCCCTGGGCAGCGTCGCCAGCCACGCGCGCGCCGGGTGGGCTTGGGGACTCCGCGCTCTCCCCCGACTCCGAGCCCAGCCCGGGTGGCCGCGCCCCCCACTCCGCCCGCAGGCCCCGTGCCCCTGAGCCCCCCCCCCCCCCCCCCCCCCGCGCCCCGGCAGCTCCCCGGGCCGGGCTGGGGACTGGGGTGTCCCCCGCGAAGGCTGCACGTTGCCCCCGGCTCTGCCCGGGCGTGAGGGGCCCGCAACCCCGTCTCCAAAACGCCTCCGTGCCCTGCAAAGTCTCCAGGCTGCCGGGCGCCGCAGGCTACTGGGGTGGCCCGGGGGTGCGGGCAGCGGCGCTGACCCCGCGCTTGGCGGCCAGTGCTCTGGGCCCTGCACCCCCACAGCCCTGCTGCTGCTGCCCCTTCACCTCCACCCGGGGTGGGGGCACCGTAGCTGCACCCGGGCACGACCCCCATCGGACCCAGCCTTCCCTGGCAGCCTGCCCCTGGGCAAGGTCCCCCATGCCTGGTCGCCTTCCTGCAGAGAGAGAGAGAGAGAGAGAGAGAGAGAGTGTGTGTGTGTGTGTGTTCTGTGTGTGTGCTGGGTGGGGACGATGCGCCCCCTTGAGCTCGGCCCTCCCAGGGGCAGTTGGCAGCTGTGCCCCGCGGTGCTCGGGGCAGCGCTGACCGCGGGCTGCATTCCAGGTGCTGCGGCTCCTGAAAGCGGGGAAGGCCAAGGAGGTGTCCTACAACGCGTTGGCCTCGCACATCATCTCCGAGGACGGGGACAACCCTGAGGTCGGCGAGGCCCGGGAGGTCTTCGACCTGCCCGTCGTGAAGGTGGGTCGCGCCCGCCTGGGGGTGCCTGCGGGGGTCTTCGTGTGGGAGTTCAGCTGCTGGCACGCGGGCTTTAGCCTTTGCCCAGCTCCAGGGGCTGGAGGCGTTTTCTTTGTTGGGTTTTGTTTGGGGGCCAGCCCCGGGCATGCCCCGGGGATGCTCCTGGCTCTGCCCTCAGGAATCAGCCCCGGGCGAGGCAAGCGCCCTGGGCCAGGCCCGTTTACCCCTCGCATCCCGGCGGAGTCTTGCTGGGAAGCAGTGGGAGGGGGCCCTCGTTTCCCTCTTTACTGGACATGGGGTCCTGGTTGCCGGGCAGTAGCGGGGACTTCAATGACCAGCCTTCAGGGCTGTGCCGGCTTCCTGCTTCTGCGCTGGTTCCCGGATGCAGTGACCCTCAGGTCAGCTGCTGTGCTGGGGCCCACACACACGCTGCCCCCAGTCCCCCGAGAACCCTTGTGCCAGCCGGGGCTCTCGCAGCCCTCCCAGCTGTGCTGGAGTTGGGCTGTGGCCAGGCGGGGCCACTCCGCTGGCCTGGAGACAGGCCGGGTAGAAATACTGGTTTTAGGAGCTGCCCCGTCCCCCAGACATCCAGGCCCCGGCGTGCAGCCTGGGCACCCGGTGTAGGAGGATGCTGGCCTTTCCCTGATGTGGGCAGGTCCCGGGGCCCTGGCGGGTCCACAGTGAGGGGGTCAGTCTGGATGGACCCACGCGGTCGCAGCCCTGAGCCGGCAGGGGCCTGTCGTCCCCAGCACCGCGACGGCTGGCGTGGCCTCAGGCCCCTCTGAGGCACCCAGGGCGGTGGCACAGCAGGAAGGGGCTCGCTCGCACACAGCGGCCAGCCCAGGCTCATCCCCACGGGGGGTCCCAGGGCCGGAATTGGGCATGGCCCCCAAGTCCAGTGGACAAAGGTCGATGTGAGAGCAACAAAAAAGTGCTGGGAGGACGACGCGCTTGGGAGCCTCCATCTGGCTGCACAGACTTGTCATGGTCCTGCGCCTGGCAGTGCCCGCCCCGACTCCGTGGCACAGCCACGCCACCTGTGCGATCTCGGGCCACTTCTGCCACGGGGAGGCCCACTCAGCTGCGCACGGGGCAGGCCCTGGCTCTGGTGCGGGCGGCCAGCAGAAGGTTCAGTGCTGAGTGCGGAGATGCGGGAAACACACATTCCCCACCCGAGGGGCTTCATGGCCCAGGAGGGTCTTTCTCCCGGGACCACTCCCTGCAGTCCCGGGTTGAGGAGCGCGTGCCCAGTTGTGTGTGCTCACACGCGTGCCCGCTACACTGCGTGTGCCCCTCGTGTGCTCACCATTGTGCGATCATTGTGCGTGTACTCCGCACACGCATTCACCATGAGTGTGCCCGTCATGTGCGCCACCACGTGTGCCCGCCAGGCGTGTGCCCAGCCCTTGCGACAGCCCCAGGACTGGGAGTCACAGTCCAGGTTTCATGACGCCCCCAGGCTGTGGGCTGGGCTGGCCTTGCCGCATGGGCGAGCGTGGCCTCCCTCGACCCGCCCCAGACCTGGGGGACTCGGGGTTCCCGTGGGAGGTGCTGGCGGCTGATGTGTGTCGACCGGGAACTTAGTCTCTGTACGAGCAGGAGTCTGGGCGCTGCCCAGCTGTGTTGGGGCCGGGGGGCCACCTGCCGGGTCGGCTCCCTTGCGGCCCTGCTCCTTCTCCTCCTCCGCGGTGGCCGGTGGCCGGTGCCCGGGCCGTGTCTGCGCGGGCGCTGAGGGGCTGAGTGCTGGGCCGTCCTGTTGATCACACTGAACGCTGTTTAATTTTGTTTCCTTTGCAGCCTTCGTGGGTGACTCTCTCTGTCCAGTGTGGAACCCTGCTGCCGTATCCTTTGTGGCAAGGAAGGAAGGAGGCCGGAGCACGGGTCTGGGCGCCAGTGCAGGGCGGCTTTCGGCGTCCGGCTTGCTGGGGACCCCTCGGCAGTCTGTGGCCTGTGGCGGTGTTTCAGGACCTCAGTGTCTGGTCTTGGAGACCGTTGGCGTCCTTGGCGTGTGTCGGCCGTGGTGTCTAGACTCTGAGCTCCAGGCCCAGAGGAGGGAGAAGCCCCCAGACCCGGGCATGGCACTTGGTGGCCTTTATTCCGTTCTGCCGGCGCAGGCTCAGGACGCCGCACCGAGCCGGCCCCGCCGTGGCTCCGCTTCCGTGCCGGGTGCTGTATTTCCGGGGGCTCTTGCTTTGCTGGGAGCAGTGGGCTCACCCCAGGCTTGGGGGTGAGACTGGGTCCTCTCACTTCTCACACGAGGTCTTGGCCTGTCAAGGGGGACCCTGTGTGCCTCGCCTCACAGCTGCTGGGGGCTCCCCTCGAAGGATTGCAGGCAGGACCCCCTCGAGCAGCCCCTGTTGTGGGCAGTGCTCCCCTTGAGTGGTCCTTGTGGGTGGGCGGTGCTCCCCAGCCCGCTGCTGCCGGGAGTCCTGTTTGTCTTCTCCCTGGGTGCGAGGGGCTCCTCAGGCGGCCGAGAAGCGGGCATCGCCGTGCAGGGTGGGTCTGTGGGTGTGTCCGTGGGGAGGAAGCGGTGCTTTGACCCAGTTCCAGTCTTGGACGCCCTCCAGTCAGTCTTGACAAAAGGCCTCGTTCTGCTTTGAGCGGAGCGGAGTGTCTGGGCCCCTGCGCAGGGCGTGCGTCGCCCGGGTGCTTGCTTGGCGCGTCAGGGTGTCGGAGTGTCAGCCGGAGCTTTCTGGCGGGGCCTGGGAGTGAGCTGGTCGCTTCTCGTTCCAGCACCGAGCTCACTTGCAGGCTCACGGAGCTGGTGGCTGGCGGGGCCTTGAGGGGACTCCTGGGGCGGGTGCTGTGTGCGTGCACGTGCGTGTGATCCTGGGGTCCGTGTTCAGGGCTGGGTGTGTAACCTGTGCGAGAACATTCCTGAATATTCAGGTGAGTGTGTGCGGTCGGTGTTTGTGTAATAGGGATGTGTGTGCTGAATGTTTAGGGGTGAGTTGTGAGTGTACATCTGTGTTGCTGTGTACTCGTGTGTGTGTACGTGTGATCCTGAACACGGGTGTGTGCATGCGTGTGTTCTGAGTACACGTGTGCATGTGTGTTCCTGAGTATCTGTGTGCCTGTGTTCCTGAGTATTTACCTTCTGTACATACGATGTGTGTGTGTTCCTGGGTATTAGTGTTTATGTGTGTGTGTGTGTGTGTGTGCATGTGTGCGTGCGTGCTCCTGAGTTACTGTGTGCATGTGTGTGTGTTCCTGAGTGTTTACCCGTGTGAGCGAGCGTGTTCCAGCGTACTTGGGGTGTGTGAGTGTGAGCGTCTGTGCGCCCCTCCGTCCCGCAGATGCTGCCCATTTCCCGCTGCCTGGGTGGGTGGGCGCGCGCGTGTGGGCTGGGACAGGCTCCGGCGCCCCCTGCTCTCTCCGCCATCCGCTTCTCTCCTGGGCGCTGAGGGCAGGGCAGAGGGCGGCCGGGGCACCAGCCTGGCGCATGGAATCTTAATGAGACCCACAGAGCGAGCGGCTTCTCCCCAGAGTCCGGCCAGGTCTTCTCTGGAGTCGCTGCCTGCCTCTCTCAGGTAAGCACGGGCAGCGCCGCGCGTGGAGGGGGTGCGGGGCGAGCAGGCCGTCGCCAGAGCCCTTCTTCACCACGGACTCGCCCACAGCCGGGTTTCGGTTGGGTCGTGGGCACGGCGGGGGGGGGCACTGTGTGGGGGCCCCCGCCTAGAGCTGACGGGCACCCCCCTGGGGACCCGCGCCAGTGGGTTTGCAGACCAGACCTGGCTGAGTCGCAGAGAAAAGGTAGGGGTCGTGGGGGGCGTGGAGTGGTGTGTGCCGGGGGTCAGGGCTGGGGAGGAGGCCGATGGCAGCCGGCCTCGCTACATCCCTGCTCTTCCCAGAGCCGGCCCGGCTCCCCGTGTCCTGAGTCGCGGCCCCCACGCGCCCCGTGTCCTGCGTCAGGGCCCCTAGCCTATCAGTGTGGGGCCTTGGGAGGGGTCCCAGCCGGGCTGGGGGTGACTTGGGCCGCTCTGTAGGCAGCCTGTGGTCGGCCGGTGCATCCTGTAGTTCTTCAAAACCGGAGCTTCGGTTTTTGCTTCAGTTGCGAGCGATGGTTAGAAATGGACTTTCCCTCCCGTGACGTGGCACCTGTCAGCTCCCCGGTTCTCACGTCGTGACTGTCTGTCCGTGTCTCGGCGGCCGGGTGTTGGTGTGGAGCCGTGCTCTGGTGACGTGTGGTTGGCAGGAATGAAAGTTGGCGGCTGCTAAGATCGCTTGTGGTTCTTGTCTGACGCTTGTCCGTGTGCTCCAGATTCAGTAAACACCAGAAAACTTTATGTTTTGGATTTTGGCCCACACCTGGCGGTGCTCCGGGCTCCCTCCTGGTGGAGCGTGGGGACCCTGCGGGGCACCGGGGATTGAACCCGGGCTGGCCGTGTGCAAGGACTATTGCCCCAGACCCAGAAAAGTTTTAAAAATGGAAATACTTGATCATTCCTTTACTCTCTATGCATGGACTCCGTGTAGTTGGCTGAGGGCGAGTGCTGCCCTTTATTCTGTGTGCGGGTTGGATTTCTGGGTTCTGTCCCGGTTGTCCGTGTTTAGGAGGGGAGAGGGGGGAAGGGTCAGCACTGAGACGGGCTCGGGAGTGGCAGGAGGGGCGTGCGAGCCCGGGCGAGCTCAGGCTGGGTGGGCTAAGTGGGCTCGAGGACCCCGGACTCGAAACAGCCCTATGCCGTGGGAGGACGTGGCGCCACCGTAGGGGTCTGGGAAGGGGTGCGCTGGGGTCTGAGTAGCCCTGGGCTGGAGCCTGATGGAGATTCCCCGGGGGCTGGGGGGCCGTGGGGAGACTGTCCCCAGCTCTGGGCTTAGTGTCCCTGAAGGTCTGCGAGAGGCAGAAGGAACCATCCCGGCCACGGGCACCAGCCTCTGCTCGGGTGGGTGCCGGCCCGGGGCCTGTCCGCGACACTGCCCTCCTCGGGGCCCTGAGCCAGCGTGGGCCCTGGGGTCAGGAGGCTTCTTGGGGTCTGGCCTTTGGGTTTCCGGCTCGGTAGGGAAGAGCCCCCGGCGCCGCCAGTGTCTGGGCTCCGCTCCACCACAGCGGCTCTGCTGAAAGTGCCGGTCGGAGCTACTGGCCGCAGGACCGGACGCCGGGGCAGCAGGGAGGACGCTTGCCCTGCACGCACTCAGCCCCGGCTCCATCCCCGGCTTCCCGTGTGGCCCTGAGCAGTGGCCCGGAGTGAGCCCCGAGCACCCCTGGGCATGGCCCCCTGATGGGGGAGAGGCAGAAGCTGCTTCCGTGAAGGGACCAGGGGAGGGGCGTGGAGGGTCACAGGGGACTCGGGGTGTCGGCCAGGCTGAGGCGCGGCAGGTGTTGGACACCCCTTAGCCGACTCGGGAGCTGCGCGGGGCAGGGCTCGGCGTCCGGGAGCGCAGGCAGCCGCGGTCCTGTCCCTCCGCCTTTCAGCCTCGTGTCCTTGCAGCTGGCGCAGGGCGGCCGTGCGGGCCGAGGGGTGGGCTCTGGGCGGGGGGACTCGGGTGGCGGAGGGCCCGGGCATGGGCGCGGTGCGGACGCGTCCCCTCTCCCACTCTGCTGCTTTCGTTGACTCCTGGCGCAGTCGAGGCAGCGAGTGCTGTGCCGGCCTGTCCCCGCGTGCTGACCGCTGCTTCCTCGCAGGTGTCGTCTGAGGACAGAAGTGCCCTGTGGGCTCTGCTCACCTTCTACGGGGGCGCCTGCCAGCTGGCGCTCACCAAGAGATGTACGCACCTGGTGGTCCCCGAGCCCAAGGGGGTGAGTGCGCCGCCCGCCGCCGTGTCCCTAGGGCGGCTCCCGAGTGGGCTCGAGGCCTGGGGCCCCTGGGCCACCCTGCCGAGGGTGCCGTGCTTGGGGGGTTTCTTGGGGGCCCAGGGTCTGGGGATGAGACTGGGCGGCCCCTGCCCATCCCTTCTGTGGCGTGAGTCTTTCTGGAGAGTCCGTGCCGGCCTAGCGGGCCCTGCATCCTCCTGGGTTTTGTTTCTCCCTGTCCAAGTCCCCGCCCGAGTCCCCGCAGTGGGGGCCGGCTGGGGGCTGCTGGTCTCCCCCGCTGGGCGGGATTGTCAGAGGCTGCAGGGAAGGCGCTTCCTCGGGGCCCTCCCCCCGCCCCCCTCGGGATCCTCCGCTTTTGCAGCGCTGGGCCGCACCACCTGCCGTCCCCGCCATAGGGGAGCAGGGCTGGGGGGCTCCGCCTGGCCCCCCGTCCCCGCCCGTCGGGGAGCTGGGCTGAGGCCTCCGACTGACCCCCGCAGGAGAAGTACGCCTGTGCTGTGAAGAGGGCGAGCGTGAGGGTCGTCACTCCCGACTGGGTCCTGGACTGCGTTTCTGAGAAGACCCGGAAGGACGAGGCGGCCTACCACCCTCGCCTCATAGTCTACGAGGAGGAGGAGGAGGAGGAGGAAGAGGAGGAGGAGGAGGAGGAGGAGGAGGAGGCGGCGGAGCACGAGGAGCAGGACTCGCAGAACGAGGGGAGCACGGATGAGAAGTCGAGCGCGCCCAGCTCCCAGGGGGCGTCCCCGGGGGGCGGGCGCTTCTCCCCCTCGGCGCGGCCCGCGCAGGCCCGGGGGGAGCTGATGTTCGACGACTCCTCGGACTCGTCCCCCGAGAAGCAGGAGCGGAACCTGAACTGGACGCCCGCCGAGGTCCCGCCGGTGGCCGCCGCCGCCCAGCGCCGCCTGGCCCCGGGGAAGGAGCCGGGGCTCATCAACCTGTGCGCCAACGTGCCGCCCGTGCCCGGGAGCGCCCTGGCCCCCGAGGCCCGGCCCGGCCTGGCCCTGCACGGCGGCGAGCGCCCCGAGATGGTGGCCTGGAGCCCGGCCGTGCGCACGCTGCGCAACATCACCAACAGCGCCGACATGCAGCCCCCCGGCCGGCCCCCCAACGTGGCGCAGGTGAGCGGGGCCGGACGGGCTGCCCGAGCGGGGGCGGGGGGGGGGGCGATGGGCCCGGGGATGGCTGCGGCTGCCCCGGGGCGGGAGCAGGTGGGGGCGGCTCAGCCTCCCGGAGACGCAGGAGCCGCCCGTCCCCCAGATCCTGCAGTCCCTGTCGGCGCCGCCCAAGAGTCTGGAGCAGCCGCTGAACCACAGCCAGCCCGGGCCGGGCAGCGCCAGCGCCGCCCTCTTCAGCCCGCCCAGGGGCGCCCCGGAGCCGCGCCCCGCCCCGCCCGCCCTGCCGCCCCCCGCAGCCCCCCGTGCTGCGCCTGCCCCCCCCAGCAGCTCCTGCACCTGCAGCCGCCGCCGCCCTTCGCCCCGCCGCAGGCCCACGCCTTCCCGCCGCAGCCCCTGCACCGCCCGCTGCAGCCGCAGCTCCACCCGATGCAGCAGTTCCACCCGCTGCAGCAGCAGCAGCAGCAGCAGCAGCGCCCGCACCCGCACCCACACCCGCACCCGCACCTGCACCCACATCCGCACCCGCACCCCATGCCCAGCACGCAGCCCCCGGGCCCGCCCGCCCAGCCGCTGCCCCCGCACCCGCCCCAGCCGCACCAGCTCTTCGGCCACGACCCCTCGGTGGAGAGTGAGTGCGGGCAGGGGCGGGGCGGGGCGGGGCGGGTCGGGTCGGGTCGGGTCTCTGCCGCCCTCCCGGCCACTCACGCCTCTCCCCGGCGCCCAGTTCCGGAGGAGGGCTTCCTGCTGGGCTGCGTGTTCGCCATCGCCGACTACCCCGAGCAGATGTCGGACAAACAGCTGCTGGCCACCTGGAAAAGGGTGAGGCCCCGGGCAGGCCTGGGGCTGACCGTGCGTGCGTGTGTGCGTGTGTGTGCGCGTGCATGTGCATGTATGCGTGTGTGTGCGTGCGTGTGTGTGCGGTCCGGCGTGAGAGTGCATGGGGGCCACACACAGGAAGGCAGGCCCGCTCCGCACGACAGGGCTCAGGCCAGGAGCTGGGCGGGTCAGTAGCTCATCTCGATGGCAGCTGAGAGGCTTCCGCTTCCTCCCCACGTTCTAGAGCTTCCCCTGCGAGGCGTGTTCAGGGCCCCCGGTGTGACCACGCATCTTGGGAGGGGCCCTAGTGCGGCCGGCCGCAGTGAGGCCGGGTGGGGTGACCAGCCCCGCCCTGGCACGCAGCCTGAGCCTTGTTCCGAGCAGCGAGGGCAGCTGGGGGGTCAGGCCTGGCTGCTCTCAGGACCTGGGACAGACGCCAGCAGGGATGGAGCTTCTGACTGGAGAGGGGGGAGTGGCCACGCACGGGACACCTGGGTCGACCCATTACCGAGGGCCTGGCGGCCCCGGTGAGGCAGGACCGGCGGCTCACGGGGCTCTGTCTGTGCAGATCATCCAGGCCCACGGCGGCATGGTGGACCCCGCGCTGTCCAGCCGCTGCACCCACCTGCTGTGCGAGAGCCAGGTCAGCGGCACCTACGCCCAGGTGAGTGCCCGCCCCTCCGCGCCGTGCGTCCCTCCGAGAGGGGCTCCCAGGCGGCCCCCACGGCTGAGTCTTGCCCCGTGCCGCCCTGTCCGCAGGCCATCCGGGAGCGGAAACGCTGCGTCACGGCGCACTGGCTGAACACGGTGCTGAAGCGCCGGCGGCTACTGCCGCCACACCGGGCCCTGCACTTCCCGGTGGCCTTCCCGCCCGGGGGCAAGCCCTGCGCCCAGCATGTGAGTGTCCCCGCCGGCCACGGGCTGGGTTCTGGTTCTGACACTTTAGGAGCCCTGTCACTGCCTGCTCCCGGGGCTGGGCGGCCCGCACTGGCCCTGACTGGCCCTCCCGCCCCTGCCCAGCCCCCTCCCGCCCTGCCTGGCCCTGCCTGGCCTCACTGCCCGCCCACCCTGTAGATCATCTCCGTGACGGGCTTCGTGGACAGTGACAGGGATGACCTGAAGCTCATGGCGTACCTGGCAGGTGCCAAGTACACGGGCTACCTGTGTCGGAACAACACGGTCCTCATCTGCAAGGAGTGAGCGCGGGGGCGGGGCAGCGTCCTGGGGGAGGCGGAGTGCGGGGGCGTCCTGGGCGGGGCGCCTGCCCGCCCTCGGGCTGAGGGGGCGCTGCGGGCCCCTGAATGCCGTGGTCCCGCCCGCAGACCAGCCGGCCCGAAGTACGAGAAGGCGCGGGAGTGGCGGATCCCGTGCGTGAACGTGCAGTGGCTCAGCGACATCCTCCTGGGCAACCTGGATGCCCTGCGGCAGGTGCAGGGTGGCCGCTACACGGCCTTCGGCCTGGCCGACCCCTTCGCGCCTGCGCCGGCGCTCGTCTTCAACCTGCTGGGTGAGCCGCCTGCACCCACCCACATGCCCGGCCAGCCAGCCAGCCCTGGGGGTGCCCAGAGGCGGGGCCGCTGGACGGGGTCCCCTGCGTGCCGGCCTCGGGGTGTCCAGAGGAACCAAGGGTCTTGGCAGAGGGACGCCCGGACCTCCGGGTGACGATTGGCTTCTTTCTGCAGACGCCTGGCGGGTTCCCGTGAAGGTGTCGGCGGAGCTGCTGATGGTGCGTCCCAGACCGGCAGCCACAGCAGGGAGTCGGGGCTCCTGGGCGTGGGAGGGGACCCGCCTCGGGCAGAGATGACGCGGGCCGGGCTGATGGTTCTGAGGGGTGTGGGTGCGGGGCACGCGGGGCTGCCTGACCGCCCTCTCTGCCCAGGGCCTGAGAGTCCCCCCGCGCCTGAAGCAGAACGAAGGCACGGCCCTGCAGCCCTCGTCCAAGAGAGCCAGGTGCGGGCGCAGCGGGAGGGCGGGCTCTGTCCTCGGCACGTCAGGGACCCCCCCCTCCCCGAGACCCCTTCATGGTACGGCGTGGGCTGGCCCGTCCCCTGGGTGCTGCACACCACCCACCCGCGTGTCCTGGCCCCGCAGGGCTTCCAGAAAGCTCCACCTGCCATGCCTTGGGGCCCCAGGTCTCTCTGGCTCGTGTCACAGAGCTGGGGTTCGGCGACACGAGCTGTGCCCCAATCAACACCGCCCCTGGTCCAGGAGCCGTGAGGAGGCTGGGCTGGATGTGGTCGGGGCTTCTGGGCCTCGGGGAGAGGACGGCGGGCTCCGGACGCCCGGTGGGCGCTGGGGTGAGGTGTGCCCTGCTCTGCCTCCTGCAGGGTCGAGGACGTCCCGGCACCCACGAAGAAGCTGACCCCGGAGCTGACCCCTTTCGTGCTCTTCACTGGCTTCGAGCCTGGCCAGGTGCAGCAGTACATGAAGGTGACGCGGCGTCCGGCCTCCGGGGTTCCAGCCTCTTCTGTGCCTGCGTGCGTGTGGGTGCATGTGGATGCACATGTGTGCTTGCATGCGTGCATGTGCGGGTGTGTGCCGTGTGCGTGCGTGTGTGATGCCGCGTGCCGTGTGCGCTCTTCCTGGTCTTCCTGTGCCCTTGCAGGGGTCCCTGCTCTGCCGGGGCTTCAGACAGGCTGTCCCCTGGCACAGATGCGGGGCTGTGGTGCGGGTGACCGGCCCCTGGGCTGGGCCGGCCGGGCCCGGCTGTGCATGTGACCCGAGTTTATGGGGAAGCTGCGGTGGCCAGCGGGGTGCTCCCATGACACGCCTGCTCTCGCTTCTCCCTGCGGCCCGCAGAAGCTGTACACCCTGGGGGGTGAGGTGGCTGAGTCCGTGCACAAGTGCACACACCTGGTGGCCAGCAAGGTGACACGCACGGTCAAGTTCCTGACGGCCGTGTCCGTGGTGAAGCACATCGTCACCCCGGAGTGGCTGGAGGAGTGTTTCAGGTGCCAGAAGTTCATCGGTGAGTGGCGGCTCCCGTGGCGACCCCCCCTCCATCCCCCACGCTCGCTCTCAGCTGCCCAGTCCCTCCCACGGTGCGGCCAGGCCAGGAGCTGTGGCGAGATGGGTGTGGGGGCTCCCCGCAGGTTGGCCCCTCCTGTCCCCTCTCACCTGCTGCATGATCCCGGAAACGTCCTCGGTTTTGTTCCGATTTTCTTTGGGCCACACCTGGATGTGCTCAGGGGACTGAATCAGGGTATCGAACCCAGGCTGGCTGGCGTTGTGCAAGGCAGGAGCCCCACCCCTGGCCTGTGCCTCTGGCCCCTGGCTTCTGTCCTGTCCAGCACATGGTCAGGCCCCCCAGCATCTGTGCTTTGCCACATGTTCTTGGCGTGATCTCAGCATGTTCTTGCCGTGCTTTTGGGGCCTGGCTTCCCTGCAGACTCGATCGAGTCTTCCCGCCCACGTCCCTCAGGCTGCAACCTTGCCCTCCCACAATGGGTGGGGCCACGTGGCTGCCCTAGGCGGGCCGTGGGCCTGGTGCAGGCCTGAGCACTGATCCACGGGTGGGTGCAGAGCCGCGGCCAAGCTGGGCTTCCTGGACCCCGGGGGCTCAGCTGTCTGGCGGCTGCGGGATGTGGGGCAGGTCCCGTGGCGCTGGCGGGAGAGGACTTGGCGGCTCCATGTGGCAGGCCTCCCTGGGCCCCACACGGGCTGGTTCCATGGGGAGGGACGGGGCAGCGGCCTAGACAGCCTCAGGGAAAATCCAGGGTCGTCCAGGGCTGGACTCGGTGACTGTGAAGAGCAGAGGGCTGAGGTGGTGTGTGCCCCGGGTGCGGGAGTCTGGGCTGACCCTGCTGGGGTGTGGGGGGGTGTCTGGGCCGGCCCTGCTGGGTTCTGGGTGGGGGATGGGGGGAGCGTCTGGGCCGGCCTTGCTGGTGCTCAAGGGACCATTTGTGGTACTGGGGATTGGCCTGGGGCTGCCCCTTAGCCTGTTTCATGGCTGAAGGCGGCGCTTGGCCGTCTCCCTGCCCGATGGCAGGGGCACTCGGGGACAGGCACACTGCTCAGGAGCATTTATACTGTGCAGAGGAAGGGGTGAGGCTGGACAGGTCCTCCATGCCTGGCTTCCTGTCTCCCGCGGGCCCGCGTCCCAGACCACCCTGCCCCCTGCCCTGCCCGGCCCCTCCCGACCGGCCTCTCTTGCAGACGAACAGAGCTACCTTCTCCGGGACGCCGAGGCCGAGGTGCTCTTCTCCTTCAGCCTGGAAGAGTCCCTGAAGAGGGCGCACATGGCCCCCCTCTTCAAGGTAGGCCCTCCCTGCCGCCCCCCATTCAGTGCCGGACAGGCTTGGTCCCATTTAAGCCAGTGATTCCCCGGGCAGTGAGAATCGGGTGCCAGTACGCGTGTGCCTGACGGACTCGGGGGTATTTGGACGCATCCTGCTCGGCTGGCAAGTGTCTCTGCGACACAGGGGCCGTGACCGACGCTGACTGAGAAGGGATGTCCAGTGCGGCACTGCTCCCGACAGCTGGCCGGGGGGTCACGGAAGCGCTCCCCCTGCAGATGGTCTGGGGGGCAGTGGTGCTCCCCTTAGCAGGATCCCTAGAAAGACAGGCTGGCCCTCGAAGTAACGCCTCGATACCCAGACACTCGTGGGCATGGGAGGGTGGGCCAGTGCCCGCGCAGAGCCTGTGCTCCCTTGCCGAGCAGACCGACTCGGAAGTGCCCGGCACCCCCAGGGTGGCAGGCCCAGGGTGACGGTGCTTCCTCCCGCGCAGGCCAAGTACTTCTACATCACCCCCGGCATCTGCCCGAGCCTGTCCACCATGAAGGCCATCGTGGAGTGTGCGGGGGGCAAGGTCCTGCCCCGGCAGCCGTCCTTCCGGAAGCTGGTGGAGCACAAGCACAACAAGGTGGGTGACGGCGGCCGGCGGGCGGCCCCAGCGGCGGCCAGTGGCGAGAGACGCCCTTTGTGTCCGCAGAGCCTGTCGGAAATCATCCTGATCTCCTGCGAGAATGACCTGCACCTGTGCAGGGAGTACTTCGCCCGGGGAATAGGTACGCGCCGCCCTCCCCGCGCGCGCGCCCCCGCCCGGCCCCGGCTGACGCGTGCCCGCCCACGCCTGTCTTTCAGACGTGCACAACGCCGAGTTCGTGCTCACGGGGGTGCTCACGCAGACACTGGACTACGACTCATATCCTTTGGGCGGGGGACTCTGCGCCCTCCCTGGGGGTCGGGCCCTGGGGACTGCGGGGTTGGCCGTGGGGCGTCCACAGTCAGCTGCCCGTCGGCTGCGCTGTCCCGCTAGCCCAGAAGGTTTTGTATTTCAGGCATCAATGGGGAAAGTGTCCTTCGTTCCCACTGTCACTGGAACCTCAGCACTGCTAGAAGATTCCACACAGTGCCCCTGGACTCCTCACAGGGTGCTCCTGCGAGCTCAGGGCAGTGGGACTGTTTGTTTTGCAGAGGTGGCTAGGACGTGGTTAGGGTTCTGGTCGTATTGGGAGGGCAGGGCAGGAATCCTGGCCTTGAGTGTGGCTGCGGAAGTTGAGGTTAGGGCAGCGTGTCATGATTGTGACTGGTTAGGGCCGTGGTCGTGGCTGAGATGGCGGTCAGGTTGGTTGTAGTGGTGAGTGGAACAGTGATTATTTGGCAGTGGTCGTTCGCAGTGGTCATGGTGGTTTGGGCAGTGGTCGTGGTGGCTGGTAGGGGTCGTGGTGGTAGCTGGCAGGGGTCATGGCTGGCAACGGCTGTGGCATGGCCGGACAGTGCCAAGCCAGCCTGGCTGCAGCGGGCACCCTCAGGGCTCTGTGCCGGGCGCTGCGTGGGTCCGGGATAGAGCCGCGAGCCTTGATTCCTTGACGCGCCCACGTATAAATTCCACTGACGGGTGGCGTCGCGCGGGCAGCCCTGGCGCCCGTGCAGCAGAGTTTTCCCGCCGCTGTCTCGGATGACGAGCACGGGAGCAGGAGAACGACTAACCATAGGCTACATCTGAAGAGGTGTGATTTTAATATGAGAAACATAAATTATGTTTTGTACGATAGGACCGGACGAGCCCACGTTCGGTTTTATGATTCATTTGCCGGGTTTTTCAATGTTTTCACGACACTGTTAAAGGAACTTTAGCTACAAATGAAATATGTAAATAAAGGCCTGATATCTCTATAAATTATGGATGTGAAATTTCGAAACGTTTTGTACTTTATTTTTATTTCTGACACACTTTTCTTTTATATTGATATCTTGCCCACATTTGAAATAAATGTACTTTTGAACTTAGAACTGAATGATCTTTTTATTTCATGTTTTAGGTGTATTTTACATGAGCTTTTGCATCAAAAGTTCATCACCTTTTAAGTGTGTGTGATTAATCGAGTGCAGGTCTTGGCACGAGATGCTCTTAACTCCCGAGCCATGTCCCCGACGGCTTTTTTTAAATGCGTGGTACTTTATTGAAACACGTGACTCACAGTTATCATTCACAGTCGTTGCTTCAGGCATTGAGTGTCCCAGCGCCAAGCCCGCCACCACCGTGGGCTCCCCTCCGCCGCTGTCTCCAGTTACCCACCCACTCCCAAGCCTGTCCCCTCGTAAGCCTGTTCCCAGGGCCCACACATGTGCCAGCCCGCTGCTTGTCAGAACACATGTCGACGGTGTCACTGGTCCTTGTGGCTCCCTGGGCTGATGGGGCCACTTGCTTCTGTGCTGTTAGCTCTGACCCGGGGGCGTCTGCGCAGCTCGCTGCAGTGCTCCTGGCTGTGGGAAGCTGAGGTCGGGAGGCGGCTGGAGGCTGGGCAGCGGGCCGGGCCCGGGGATCCGGCTCACCTGGGTCGGCCCAGCTGCGGCCTAGGTGGCGCGACCACATTTGAAGGCAGAACATCTCTACTAACGTTTTCCCCAAACAACGGAGCTTGATGGCCGTGGGAAGGGCAGAGCCGGGCCAGCTCCGTGGTAAACGCCTGGCCCGGTCCCCAGGGTGCCCCTCTCCGCCCTGCCACACACACGCCAGCACAACACACGGCTGTGACGTCTTCACGGGTCAGCCATGGCTGCCACAGACACGCGACGTCTGCCGTCCACTGATGGGCAGCATCGGCCCGGCATCACTCGCCGAGAGCCAAGTGACGCTCCGGCTCTGCATCTGCGCCCGTGAGCTCCGACAGCCGCTGCTCACAACAGCCCAGAGCAGCACCTGCCGGGTCCCCACTCAGCTTCCTGCTGGGGTGGGATTCTGACCCCCCGAAGGCAGGACCCTCACGCAGCTCAGGGAAGTGTCCCGGAGACCCTCCAGACCCCGTGCCTCTCCCAAAGCCCTTGGTCTGACTCTTCTCCCTCACTCCAGTCGACTGCTCTGAGCTGTGCCTGGCGGCGGCAGGGCCACTCCCAGCTCTGCTCAGGGTCACTCCCGCTCTGTGCTTGGAGCTCACTCCTGGCTCCGTGCTCAGGGCTCACTCCTGTTTCTGTGCTCACCCCATCACGTGACCGCTGTGGATTCGTGCTCAACATTGTGTTGGCCTTTGGACCCTGATGCAGAGCGTCAGCCAGGGAATGGCCTGTGGTGGTGGGACGGTGGCAGGCGGCTGCCCGGAACAAGCTTTCAGTCCAGACCCTCCTCGAGGGAGCCGGAAAGCTGCACATCTGCCTGCGTCTCCCAGCTACTCACCTTGAGGCCGGGCACCCCGGCCCCTGGTGGCCTCCTGCGGACCTGCAACCTGGTGGACCTTGGGCCCAGCGCTGCCCTCTGCTGCCCTCTCCCGGCGGCTCAGAGAAGACGAGACTGGAATCTGGGACAGTGGCCAGGGGGCTGCTTCCGCTTTCAGTGAGGGCGCCCCCCCATTCCTCCCCCCCGCCCCCCGCCAGGTGTGGGGTGTCACCGGGGCCAGGCTGGGACAGTGCATGTCTAAGAGCCCTGCTCTGGGCTTCAGGGCATTGGGCCAGAGCTGGAGAGGAACAGGGCGGGGAGGGACACACCAGCTCCCCAGGGAGCTGCAGGCATGCATATGCCCACGTCCCCGTGTGCGTGTGCACGTGTGCATGTGCGGGCCCAGGTGCATGTTGTCGGGTGAGTCCAGCCATGTGGTGGCTCAGGCCAGTGACCCAGCAGGTGCCTTCCCCGGCCAGCCTGGTGCCTGCCTGCTGCTCTCTGAGAGCCACCAGGACAGGCCCGACAGACGGGGACTCGCCCGGGGTGACAACTCCCCCTGACTGCCTGCTCTGGGGACACACACTGTCCCGTTCTTGCTACTCCTGAGCAGAGCCGGCCACCTTCAGGGCCTGGGGAGGTTTCAGGCTCCAGCCTCGGGGCTGAGGGCGCACTGCCAGGCCACAGAACAGCAGAACAAAGGCCCGGCAGGTGGTGGTGTGGGAGACGCGCCCCCAGGCTAGAGCAGCTGGGGCTGGCGCCTCTGTGGCCCGCAAGCGGTCCCCCACCTGCGTCCTCTCCCTGGGTCCCCTCCTCTGCCCCCTGCACCTGAGTCCCCTCACCTTCACGTGCTCCCCCCACACACTCCTGGGTCCCTCCTCCGCCCCTGCACCTCGGTCCTCCATCACGCTGTCTTGGTTGGGGGGAGGAGCAGGGGCACTGGAGGGCTGAAGCTCAGAGTGTGGCGGGCCCTGCCCCACCCCACGCTGGCTCCGCCCCGCAGCAAGGCCCCGCCCCTCTCCACGCTGGCTCCGCCCTGGTTAGGCCCCGCCTGGCGCTGGCTCCACCCCCACACTGACCCCGCCCCACATGACAGGTGAGACTTGCTGGCAGCCTGGGGCAGTTGGCAGGAGACGCCCCGCTCAGGGCAGGCTCCATCCTAGGGCCTGGGTCTGGGTCCTCCTGCGCCCGCAGCTCTGCGGGGAGACGCACTGGGGTGGCACCGAGGGCACAGGGGCGGGGCTGTCTCCAAAGAGCCAGGAACACGGGCTGTGGCTCTGCAGCTTCCGGCGGACCGTGCCCAGCCACCCCTGCCCCGCCCGCTTGTCTTTCCCACGGGGTGCCCCCAGCTGTTCCCAGATGGAAGTCCTCTGCCCCGCCCCGCGTCACAAGGGCTCCCCCACACCCCCAGGGACAGTGCAGCCCCGCCCCAGCAAGCGCCCTCATCCTCCATCTTCCCAACCCCTCACCTGTTGGGCCGCCCCAATATCCGACACCCCAAGCAGCCCCACCCAGGAGGCCCCGCCCCACCCTGGCTCCGCCCTGCAGCAAGGCCCTGCCCAGCGCCGGCTCCACCCACACCACAGGCCCCGCCCCTCTCCACGTTGGCCCCGCCCTGGTTAGGCCCCGCCCGGCGCTGGCTCCACCCCCACACTGACCCCGCCCCACATGACAGGCCCCGCCCCCACACCAACCCCACCCACCCCACGCTGGTTCCACCCTGGCTGACCTGCCAGCCCGAGGCACTGAAGGCTCCGCCCACATTTCTGGCCACGCCCACACGTGGCCCAGCCTCCGCCCACAGGTGGCCCAGACCCAGCCCCCGCCGGGTCCTGGGTCTCCCGGGTCTCCCTTACCTGGGTTCTGGGCCACCGGAAGTGGGGAGCGCTGCGTCCTGACAGGCGGGGCGAGTGTCAGCGGCGCGTGGGGGACTCCCGGGCGCTGCAGCACTGACCCCGCGGGAGCCCCTGCAGAGCTGCCTGCGTTCTGCTGGGGTCGCCCCGCGTCCACCCCGGAGCATGAAGGCCACGCGGTCCAGTTCTTTCTCTGACAGATTTGGGCTCTGCCTTAGCAGGACCCACGGGCAGCGCAGGGCTGGGGTGCGAGCCGCCGTCCAGACGCCAGGAATCCTTTGGCCCCAGATGCTGCGTGCACGTGTGTGTGTGTGTGTGTGTGTGTGTGTGTGTGTGTGTGCGCGCGCGCGCGTGCCATGGATGCTGGGTCTCAACCATGGGGGGGGGGGCGCGTGCCTTTCGTGTCCTGTGTGTCCCATGTGAGCTTTATCTCAGTCAGGGCGTCCTTGGGGGCGACTCCCAGGAGCTGCAACCCCAGGGCGGTTGCAACCCCACCGGCACGCAGGCTCCCGTGCCGCGCACCCCGCTCGCGGCCACCGGCCTCCTGCCCCGGGGCCTCGGCCCGGTCACCCTGAGCCACCTCGACCACCGCTGAGTCCGCTCGCTCAGCGACTCAGCCTCGCCAGGGCCCAGAGGGCGCCTGGAAACTTCTAGAAAGTGCGCACCGAGGTGGGGGAGCACCGAGACAAGAGCAGCCCGGTGGTAAGGTGATGCTTTCTTCCCGGGCACCTCGGCTGCCGCCTCTCCTCGGACCAGCCCCGCGGCCCGGGGGGAAGCGGTGAGGGGAAGCCGCCCCCTGCTCTGCCCCGATGCGGCCCCGCAGGGCTGACCCCCGCACCCGGCTGCCCACACGGGACTCGCCAGCTGCTGGCCCTCCGAGTCGGAACCACAGCGCGAGGCCCCTGGCAGAGGAAGGGGGGACTGGTAGGCGACAGGACAGACAGGCTGGAGTTGACAGGTAATTGGATGGAATTGATAGGCAGCTGACGGGTCTGGAACGGACAGGTTTTTGACGAGATCGATTTTGATTGGACGGAACTGTGAGGTGACTGGGCGGGGCTGCAGGGTGATTGGACGGGACTGGCAGGTGATTGGGCGGGGCTGCAGGGTGCTTGGACGGGACTGCCGGGTGCTTGGACGGGACTGCCGGGCGACTGGGCGGGGCTGCTGGGTGATTGGACAGGACTGCCGGGTGATTGGAAGGGGCTGCTGGGTGATTGGACGGGACTGCCGGGTGACTGGGCGGGGCTGCAGGGTGATTGGACGGGACTGGCAGGTGATTGGAAGGGGCTGCTGGATGATTGGACGGGACTGCCGGGCGACTGGGCGGAGCTGCTGGGTGATTGGACGGGACTGCCGGGGCGACTGGGCGGAGCTGCTGGGTGATTGGACGGGACTGCCGGGCGACTGGGCGGGGCTGCTGGGTGATTGGACAGGACTGACAGGTGATTGGGCGGGGCTACTGGGTGATTGGAGGGGCTACCAGGATGATTGGGCGGGGCTGCCGAGGTGATTGGGCGGGGGCTGCAGGGTGATTGGGCGGGGCTGCAGGGTGACTGGACGAGACTGCCGGGCGACTGGGCGGGGCTGCCAGGTGATTGGACGGAATTGGCGGGTGACTGGGCGGGGCTGCTGGTGATTGGCCGGGGTCGGCGGGCGACTGGTTTTGACCCAGTGCAGCTCGGTGCCAGCGTGCAGGCTGCAGCTGAGCTGGGCACCGGGCGGCCGTGCAGCGGGACACACGTCTTGCTGCCGTCCCGACGCAGGGTGCTGCTGGCCAGGGGCATCCGACGAGGCTGGCACCACCCGCCGAGGCCATCGGGGTGGCTCGGGGCGCCCCGGGGCGCGGTGTCAGCGTGGGTGGGTGGGTGGAACCCGGCGTGGTCGGCCAGGCGGCAGGGGCCGCGGCGTTGGGACGGACAGAGGCTTTATTGATATACTCTTAGCGACTAGCATTGCGCCCCCGCGCGTCCCGAGCCTGGGGCCGGCGGGCAGCCCGGGGGTCGAGCAGTTAGTGGCTCTCACGGGCCTTTGTACAAACGAGCGGGGCCTACGGAGCGGACGGGAGAGAAGCCGAACAGAAGGGGCGGGCGGGGCCAAGCGCAGCCGCGAGGCCGGCCCGGTGGCCGGTAAAAACCATAGAAAAATACGAATCGATCCGGAACGGCGGGCCGTGAGCACAGCGACGGGGACACGCGGCGGGCGGCCGGGCGGGGACGAGGGCCCTGGCCGGTCTTTGTGCTCTCGTGGGGGCCGTGGAGGGAGGGGGCCGAGGGCGAGGCGCCCCGCGGCCGGGAGTCCGGCTGTCCTGCGTCCGTCCCGGCGCGGCCACTCGAGGCGAGCGCGGCCCGGGGGACGCCGCCCCGTCCGTCCGTCCGTCCTTCCTGCCCGCCGGCGGTCCCCGAGACATGCTAAGGACGTGGCCCTCGGCGGCGGCGCCCTCCCTCGTCCACCCGGGGACAGCCGCCTTGTGCTTGAGGCCGCCTCAGTCCTCCTCCTCGTCCTCTCTGGCCGCCGCCGCGGGGAGCCTGTCCTGGACCCGGAAGCACTCCACGAAGAAGCCGATGAGCGCCCGGAACAGGTGCTGCCGCAGCGGGCTGCCGTGCAGGTAATGGCTTTCGTCGGGGTAGATCTGCGGGGCCACGGCGCGGTCAGCACCCCGGAAGGCAGCGCCCCGGGACACGGCAGCGGCCCCCGGGGCTCCAGGGTCAGGGCGTGGGGGACGCTGGCCCCCGAGACCCCCCCCCCCCCCACACACACACCACCTGGGAGACAGGTGCGGCGGGCATGCACCTGTGTTCCCGTGCATGTGTGCTCAGGGGTGCCGACCCAGTGTGAGGGTCACTCGCGGAGTGTGCGGGTCTGTCCCCCACCGCGGTACCTGTAAGCTGTAGTTGGCCTTTCCTCTGATCAGCTGCGTGATCAGCTCTGCCGTGTGCTGGAAGTGGATTTTCTCTGTGGGGGCAGAGGAGAGTGTGGGTGGGCTGCAGCGCGCCACGGGGGGGGGGGGGGGGGACGGCCTGCTCCCACCCCGACCTGGCCGGGATCAGGTGGCCCCGGGTGGCCCTGGGCACTCACCGTCGGCAGTGGCGTGGATGATCAGGAACTGCTGCTCTCCCAGAGCAGAGACGCGATGGGACACCTTAGTCATCTGCACACGAGACGAGGGGCAGTGAGTGACCGCGGGGGAGGCAGGTGGTGCGTGGGGACAGCAGAGCTGAGGGGCAGTGAGTGGCCGGAGGGGGGTGCCCAGGGACAGTGGGGATGAGGGGCAGCGAGTGACTGCGGGGCGGGTGGTGCCCGGGGACAGAGGAGATGAGGGGCAGCGAGTGACCACAGGGGAGGGTGCCTGGCGGTGCCTGGGGACAGCGAGGATGAGGGGCAGTGAGTGACCGCGGCAGGGCGGGTGCAGGGACACTTCCTGTCTGCTCTACCACCGCCTACAAGGACGACACTCCCCTCTACCAACTTCCTCAGGAAGCGGCACAAGGAGGCCCGGACCCTGCCTGTCCCCTCCCAACAGGCCCCCACCCCAGCTGCAGGTGGCCCCCTGACTTTTGAACTGTCACTCAGCCCCCAAAGACCCCACCCAACCACATGGGGTCACGCAAGGGGCTTCCCGCTCCAGACCCCCAGTAAGAGTCGCAGGACAGGCCACCGGCCTACTGCCGGCGAGCCAGATACGGTGGCCAGCAAAGCTGCTCTGTCTCCCTGGAACCCCAGTTCCAGAACCGAGGACCAGGCCACGAGGGGCGGGGAGTGAGGACAGGGGAGAGAGAACGGGGTGAAGAGAGGCGGTGGGGACAAGGGGAGAAGTTGGGGGGAGGAAAAGGGATGAGGGATGGAGGGGGCGGGGAGGGGACAGCAGGCCCCATACCTCGTAGGCGCGGTTGTCCAGGCCGTGGAGACCCAGGTACCGCTCGGAAAAGGCGGATGCTGCGGAGACAGAGACGGGCTGTGTGCCGAGTCGGGCCCGGGCCCTTTCCCCCAGGTTCCTTCGAGAAAGGGCGGCCGGCCCAGGAAGGAGACCGTGGGAGGTGACAGGCTGCCCCGGGTCTCCTCTGAGCTCTGCAGCAAGCCCGCTGCCCACCCGCCCATCTCAGACTTCACCTGGGGATAGCCCCCTGGGGGGGGTTAGTGGCCCCTGAGACTGGACAAGCCCCTCAGCATTCGCAGGGGTGAGATGACCCACAGCCCCCGGAGGGTCGTGCTCCCGGGGGTCACCGGGCCTTACCGTAGAGCTTGAAGTCTGTGATGGGGGACAGGGCGGCGCCACAGGCGAACACCTGGTCCTGGTTCTCGCCCCTCGCCGGGAGGATGTAGGTGCTCAGGTACCCCCCATAGTCCTGGAGGGGACAGGGCGGCCCGTCACTCCGGGCTTCGGCCACCGTGGCCCACAGAGGACAACGCCAGGGGCCAGGAGTAAAGGCTCTTCCTAGAGCAGATGCTGAGCCCGAGCTGTCGCTGGGGTCGCTGAGGGCTGGCCCCCGTGGGCATGTCCTGAGCCTGCGTGGCCCACTCAGGTTCCGGGCAGACCCCGCGTCACTGCGGGCTGCCCCGGTGGTCCTGCTGGTGTGCGTCCAAGCTGGCCAGCTCAGATGCTACCGTCTCCCCCAAGACCAGAGAGCATAGCCCCGGGCACAGAGAGGGACCTGGGCAAGTCTGCAGGTGCCAGCCAGAGCACAGGGCCTTGGGGACCGCCACAGCTTCCCATCCGCAGAAGCACAGGGCAGGGCTGGGAAGCCTGGGGTACTGGCGAGGCGCTAACCCCAGCATGTTCCAAGGGCGGGACAGACGGGGTCAGACTCACCTTCCCAAACACGCCCACCCGCGTCTGGTCGATGTACGGCTCCCGCAGCATGGTCCTGCAAGAGCAAGGAAGAGCTTCAGGCCCGGGGCAGGGTCTGTCCCCAAGGCCACAGCCTCGCCGCGTGGAAAATCAAAGTTCAGGTGGAATTCTAAGGGGGCTGCTTATGGCTCTGGTTTCTCCAGGGCCGGTAACAGAGAGTCCGCTATCTGGAAAGCTCGTTTTTCTGATCAGATCGCTCTTGGAGAGTTCAGTGCTGCACAGCAAAATGTAAAAACACCCCCGGGGGTGGTGAAGCCTGCAGTGACCCCGACATCAGTCTGCCAGCCGTGCCAGGGGCCAGAGACTTCCAGGCCCTGCCGGGGTCCCTGCCTGCAGCTTCCTAGCCACATGGGCCAACAGCTGGGCCCGAGTTCTGGGCTCTGGCCACCAGCCCAGGCTCCATAGCCCTGTCTGTGCTGGGAGGAGCAGCCCAGCTCTCGGCTGGTGTCGCTGGGTCCCTTGGTCTCTGCCAGCACCCCCGCCCCCATCCCCACGCCTGGTGGTTCCCTGTCTTCCCCACAGGGACTGCACTGAGTCTTTCTGAACCCAGGGTTGGCTGTCATGGCCTCACACCAGCTGGCAGCAGTGACTGGCTGTCTCTGAATCTCCCGGGGGCCCCGCCTGCACCCTGTCCTTCCACTCGGCTTCCTGCTCCTCTGGGCGAAGGGCGCTCCCAGTGAGGTGGCCGTGGACACCCCTTGTTAGGATGCCTCTCGGGCTGAAGGGCCAGCCTCTGCGCACTGGGCCCCTGGGGCATCCTGTCATCCTGGACTCGGGAGCGGCTGTGCTGGCGCTGTCACGTGGCTTCCTGGAGGCGGGGTTGCTGGCAGCAGAAGTGCCCCAAGCTCCTGTCTGGGCCACAGTGGGGTTGTTTCTGGCGAGCATCGCAGGTGGCTCACATGAAGTCTAGTGGCACAGAGCACGCTCAGGGGCCTCCCTCCAGGACAAGGTGCCATCAGCAAGGCCCTGAGACAGATGGCCCTGCCTTCTAGAAACTTCCATTCTCACAGACAGACTCAACAGCTGGGCTCCAGTTAGGCCCCGGCCTCCTGACATGTCACTAAACTCACGTCATAGCATCATGTCTGAGAAGGTGCCAGGACACTGAGGTGGCCCGTCGCAGGGAGATGAGTGGCTCCACCCTCGGAGGGGCAGGTCGGGCGCACCCGAACCCTCAGCAGGGCCCCAGCTAAGGCAGCAGACACGGGAATCAGAGCGGCTCTGAACCAGACCAGCACCGAGGCCTGCGGCCAGGGAGGCGGCGGCTGGTGTGAGCCACAGAACCCATAGTGGCAGGGCCGGGATACTGAGCGGAAGCTGCAGAGCGGCAAGAAGGGGCGGCCGGGGTAGGAGCCACACCCCGGTGGCAACACAGCCCGGATCCCAGGAAGGCGTTGGCGAGAGAAGTCCACAAAACCTTCGTGGGGAGAAACGGAACCAGGCCGAACCCCGAGGGGCGGCCGGGGACAGTCTCGGAGGCTGTCTGGGCACAAGCTGTTTCCACATGGCCACTGCGGAGTAGCAGACAAAATGGCTCAGACTTCTCAGGGTAGGTGCCACCTCCCCTGGGAGCAGTGTAGAAAGACGGAGTGTCAAGAGGAACACAAGCACTGACTCCAGTGACGGCGGCCAGAGCGACAGGACGAGGGAAGGTGCCAGCCTTGCATGCGGCTCGCCTAGCTTCCATCCCAGCATCCCTAAGGTCCCCCGAGCCTGCCAGGAGTGACCCCTGAATATCGCTGAGCGTGGCCCAAAAATAAAGGATGAAGCAGGAAGAGGACTCAGTGGGGGCAGGGTCCCCTGCATGCGGGGAGCACTGGACATCCTTGCCCACAGGAAACTGACACAGCACTTTACTGCCTTTGTTCTTAACAAGCGTGTGACAGGAGCACAGGACCTTGACACATTTCACATGTCTTCTGGCAGGCTCAGGACTACTTGGAGACACGTGTGCACACCATGTGTCTGCATGCACAAGAAGCCCGCAGAGGCTCCACCTGCACACTCGCATGTCCACGCATGCACAAGTGTCCGCACACTCACATGTCCGAAAATGCACATTCCTGCCAAGGGCCCCTGACAAGGAGCAGCTGCCAAGGCTTGGCCAACCCTGGCCTCGCGCCCATGGGTGCACTGCGCGCCGCCAGGAGGCACAGTGCGGCCACCCGGGCACAGAGCTGGGAGCCTGCGGGGTGTGTCCCTCCACACGGCCCCTGGGCACCTCAGCCAGGGGGTACCTGCACTGGCCAAGGCCCCACTGGGGAGCCGCAGAGCCCTACTTCACAGGGCAGAGACGCCGGCTGGGGGTTAGTCGCCAACAGTCATGTGGGCATCACAGCTGCCAAAAGCTCGCTAAGGCACTTGGGATCTGGGGGGCCCCGAACCCCACCCCCAGACCACCCTTGTAGCCTCACGAGCTGTCTGTCCCCACGCACCCACTGGTCACCCAGCTGTCCAGCATGCCGCAGGCCCTCCGAGCTGCAGAGGCGGGGCAGGAGGACATGGGGCGCCCTCTGCTGCCCCCGCCCCTCCCACTACTTCCGCCCTTCCCGCTGGCCCCCACCCCTGTCCCCGCGCGGGGCTCACCGCACGGCCTCCATCTGGTCCCTCTCCTCCAGGAAGCCCAGCCTGCGCCTCACTTCGTGCAGGAGCTTCGTCCCCTGGAAGCCGCTGCCCCGGCCGTCACACTTGACCACCACGGCCCCGTGGCTGCTCACCAGCACCGTCTCCCATGTCACCTCGAACTTCTCGGCCACGCTCTGGCTCCCGGGGGTGCCGTCCCTGCCAAGGAGGAGCCCCTGATCCAGCTGTGGCCGCGCCAGGCCAGGCCAGGCCAGGCCCACTCTGGGCTGACCAGTGAGGATGTCCCCTCCTAAGTGACCACCACTGCCACCATCCAGGCCTTGGTCACTGTGGCCCATGGGCCATGTGTGCCGGCAATGCCCTGTGATAGGATTCTGCACTCTGGGGGCACGCGTGAGAGGCGAGTGCTGAGTGCCAGTGTCATGGCACTATCATGGGATAGTGTGCAATGTTATGGGATTGTCATGTGTGTGCAGCATCATGTGTTATATGTGTTCAATGTCATGTGAGTGTCATAAATGTGCAATGTCATGTGATATGCACAGCATCATGTGACATCACATGTGTGCAGCATAATGTGTCATGTGCAGTGGTCTATAATAGTGTCATGCCCATGCAGCGTTGTCATATGTGCAGTGCTATGTGATAATGTCCTGCATGTGCAGTGTCATATGATAGTGTCGTGTGTAGTGTGATTCATACATGTGCAGTGTTGTGATAGTATACGTGTGCAGTGTCATGTGATAGTGCTGTTTGTGTGGTGCCGTGTTATTGTATCACTGTGAAAGGGTGTAAAGGTGTCACATGTATAATTGCATGATGTCACACATGTGGGGTACTTTCTAAGATGTCACGTATTACAGCTGACCCTGTGGCATGTGATAGGGTCACATGTGAAGGTGTAATGGCACAAGTGAGACGATACATGTTGCTGTATCGTGATGTCACATGAGCATGTGGTGTATCACATGTGATTGGTCTATGTCACGTGATGGTATCTTGGAACATGCATGTGGTCACATGGCATGTCACATCCATGTATGTCCTGTGTGAGATTTCACATGAACATGTGAGACTGGTAATGTGATATATGTGAGGGTGTGGAGTCACACAAATGTGGTGTGCCACATGTAATGTCATGTATGTCGTGCTACTACATGAGTGATGTTATACAGCATACATATGGGGTGTGCTGTCACATGTGAGACATCAATGAGTGCTGGGCGTGTGGTGCTGTCACGCTGAGATGCTGCTTGTGCATCTGTGTGTGCTGGGCCTGGTTCTAGACACTCTTCCCATGGGCCCCATCATGTCCTGAGGTTCCCTGGTAACTGCCATCATCACGCACCAACGGGGTCACCCTACAGACTGCCCCGAGAGGTCCTGCAGGTCCCCGAATCGGAGGACCTGGGGTACGTGCAGCTGAGCCTCCTGGGTGGGGAGGAAGGGGGGGTCAGTGTGGGGGTCACCAGGCAGGCAGGTCAGGGACAGTGCTGGTCCCAGTGCATTGTGGGGCACTAGGGCTGGGCGTGGCCACTGAGCGGGGGACGGGAGTCTTGGCCTGTGCTGGTTGCTGGGGGCTGCCTCCCTGCTGTGCCGGCTGGGGACTGACACGGGGCTGCGGCTCAGTCGTGGGGTGCTCGGACAAGGACCTGCTGCCTCTGCTTCTGGGGGCTGGGGGGGGGGCTGGGCTGCTGGCGCCACCCTGAGCTCCACTTTGCTGGGAATGGGGGGTGGGGAGGGGATCACGGGTCCCTGTTGCAGCATGGGGGGTGATTGGTCATGAGAAGGCCGGCTGCCCTGCCCACATGTCTGTCCCCCCGCGGCCCCCCGAGACGTAGGGACACACTCACACCACCAGGAGCAGGGGGTAGTGGTTCGTGTCGCTGAAGGTGGCCGGCTTGATGATCTGCAGGGGCAGGCCTGCGGAGAGAACACGGGGAGCATGAGGCCGGGAGGGAGCAGGGGACAGCGTGGGGCGGGGGCTGGCTGGTCCCGCAGTGGCTGCCCCACTGTCCATCTGAGCTGTGCGACCTCGGAGAGTCTCTGAAGGCCCACGCGGGCAAACCCTACCTGGTAAAGGGGAGCACAGAGCAGATGGGGTGTGGGGGCGTCTCCAGGCAGCATGGGGAGAGTGACCCCTAGGGCCGGGCCAGCACCTACAGGCGGTGCCTCAGTGCTCCCTTCAAGATGCAGTGCCCTGCCACATTAGAACCACCACCTGGATTAGCAATTACATTGGAATCTCCTATGGTCACTGAATGCTGATGGCTCGCAAATTGGACCCCTGGCCCAGGGCACTGCTTGGGCCCAAAACATCCATAAACATGGGCTGGCCTGGGCTGGGGGTGGGCCCTTCCCCGCTGCTAGTCCAGAGGCGACCCCCGACCTCAGCCGTCTCTGTGGGCGGATGCTGGAAGCTGCCCGAGGCCGCTGTGGGGCGCAGTGCTGGGCACAGTCGAACCTGGCTGTGGGGTGGGGGTGCGGGGGCAGGCGGGGCGCCCGGGGCTCGGCCTCTGCCTCTTGCTCCCGATCTCGGCCCTGCCCAGCTCTCCTGGAACTGGGTCCTTGACTCCTCCCTCAGCGGAACGGGACATTCCGGCATCCAGGGCCGCCCAATTCCTCCAACACGCCCCGCCTTGCCTCGCCCCCTCTCCAGCTCCTTTCCCTCCTGCGCCCACCTTCAGCCCATTAACCCACCCCTCCAACCCCCCGTTAACCCATCTGTTCATCTGCAAGGCCCTCCCTCCCTCCACCTCCGCATCAGTCCATTCGTCCGTCTGTTCATCCATCTATCCCCAAACTCCATCTAAAATCCCTTAAACAGGAGAGCACTAACATGGGAATCCTGTTCCTATGAGGCCACAGGCCTGGCTCTGTGGGTGGTGGATGGGCTCTGGGTGGTGCTGGCCTAGCCACGGTCACCTCTCCTGGGCACCTAGCATCTCCTGTGCTGGGCTCTGCGCCAGAGTCCCTGGGGATGCCCACAGGGTTCTCCGAGGGCCCCGGAGCAGTGGGCGGGCCAGCTGCCCTTACCTGCTGGAGGGCACGGGCTGGGGACAGGGCCGGGGGGTTGCCCACAGTTCTCTGACCGCAGGACGCCCCCACAAGCAGCCTGCCAGAGGTAGAGACAGGAGCAGGCCCGGCTTTCAATTCCCAGCTACCGAGCTCCCGAGCAGGGGGCGGGAACCCTCTGGGCACTCACTGTAGTCGGCCACCTCGATCCTCCCGTAGTCCACTCTGGGCATCTGCCGCTCGCTGACCGCCCTCTGCACGTGCTCGTTGGTCTCCAGGTCGAACAGCTCTGCAAGAGCAACACGGACAGGCTCAGACCCTTCCCATGCACGCAGCCCCACGACTTCCAGTGGCCCCATGCAGCGGGTGGGGTGGAGACCCGACGCTTCTTGCCGGCCTGTGCATCGAGGCTGGCGGCTCACAGCTGTGAGAAGGTTCAAAACCGTGGCCGGAGGGCCAGTGCCGTGGGCAGGCGCTTCCCTAGCGATCCCTGGCACAGGACGGTGCCCCGAGCCCTGCCAGGAGTGAACCCCGAGCTCGGAGCAGTGTGGCCCCGAACAACACCACGCCCCAGGGCACCCCAACCACATCTCCCACCTGTGAGGGGGGGGCAGGTGAGCGCAGGGGTGAGTCAGGGTCAGACCAGAGAATCAAGTGCCTGCGGGAACAGGGCTGCAGCTGGACTCCGGGCCCTGGAGGGCCGGGGTTGGGACGTGTCACTTCTGCCCGTCTGCTGCGCACGGCAGGCCCTGGAGACTCCGGGAGGGGCTGGAAGCCGGCTGCTGCGCCCGTCCGAACAGCCCCCCTAGCCCCCTGAAATCCCACCCTGCACAGGCGCCAGAGTAAGACGATTAAAGTTAGTTAAATATTAGATCCCTCATTTAATGACTGCCCACGCGACTGCTCTTATCAGCGGGGCTGCCTGGCGCGGGGAGCGGCCTTAAGCCGTTTATTTGTTCCCGTAATTGCATTCAAAGGGGGCGGGGGGGGGGGGGATAAGGGGAGATTGGCAAGGCGCCCCCCAAGGGCCCGCACTCGGAGGCACATGGCCACTCCTTAATTAAAAGTGAGCCGCGAATATCGGTGGAATTAGCGATTATCACATGTGGGTGCGGGGAGGTCGGGAGACAGATGTCGCCGGGGTTGGCTTCCCGGGGGGTCCTGGCAGTGTACATTCGCCCCAGTCATGTGGTCAGTGGCCTGGGGGTTCCAGGTTTCAGGAGCGAAGAGGCTTCTTGGGGGAGTGGACAGGCGCTTCCCTAGTGATCCCTGGCATAGGAGTCCCCTCCCGGCAGGGCCCGCACACGGGGCTCAGATGGTCACGCCCAGGCCTGGCTCTGGGCCGAGCCCCTGGGAAGGGGCAGGACACCCGCCCCTCAGGCCCGTCCGGGTGCCCCTGTCCTGCAGGCAGCCCACAACCACAGCACTGAGCGCACACAGGCAGGGCGACCAAGGGCCTCCGCTCTGCTACTGGACACTGACCGGCCCTCAGAAGCTGCAGCCTGCACCCTGCACCACTGCCCGGCCTCTGTTGCCTGCCCGTTTCTGACACCCTCTACTGTCCTGGGCTCAATGCCCTGCGGGCCCCGACGGTGTCTTGTCCAGATTGAACATGTGTCCTTGGCCACAGGCTCGTCCTCGGGAGTGGGCCGGGTGTGGACAGTCTGACTCAGTGGATGGGGAGGAGGGACAGTCCTGCTGCGGGGCTGGGCTGAGGGACAGTGGGAGCTGTGGGCTCTGCTCCGTGGCCAGCAGACACCCGTTACTGAGTGGCACCATGGCCTTGGTTGTGATGCCCCAACCGAGATGCGCCTCAGGGTGCTGATGGCGGGTGGACACTGTGGGCAGCCGGCCACGAGCTCATCCTTGCCTGCCTGAGAGCTTGGGCTGTCAGCCCGGCACTGGCCGATGAGGCCTGGGGTGCTGGGTGACACGTCTGCCGGGGCTGACCCTCTGCCAAGAGCCGGGCTGGCCTCCAGCGCCCAACACTTACTTCTGTTATCCACGGTGCTGTGCACGGTCACCATGGGGACACCAGGGCCTGGGGAAAGGGAGAGAGGAGGGAGAGCGTCAGTGCCCTAGTCACGCTGCCAGGAGAGAAGGCGCATGTGAGGAACCGTGTCGGAGCGTGTGTGCAGTATGTCATGCAGTGCGTCAGGAGCCGACATCAATACGTGACCGATGTGGCACGTGCCCCTCGCCGTCCCCCCACATCCCACTGTCACCCTCTTGCTCCCTCACAGCCTCCCTCCATGAGTCCCAGGGGTCTCCGCTGTCGGGGCCCTCCCCACGCTGTGCGACCTGGCACGGAGACGTCACTGCAGCCCTCAACTGCGTCCCGCCCGCCCCTGCCGTCTCCCCCCTGCAGCGCCCACGGGAGCACTGCTGCCAGCCCCGCAGGGCACCGTCTCTGCCCTCTGCTCAGCGTCCCACAAGCTCCTGCCTGAGAGCCCATCAAGCACCCGGCACCCCTCCCCTCCGTGCCCGGGGACCCCAGCGCGTGGCTCAGTCCCTCCTTTCCGTTGCTCAGAACCCGTGGCAGCTCCGGGCGGCAAGGCCCTGGGTGCCCAGCTCACTGCCCGCCCCAGCACCCTGACCAGCCTCTGCAGACGCGTCAGGCTGGATCTCAGACCACAGTTGCCACGAGCAGCAGCGGGCAGCGGCTTCTGGTGGTGGGTGCCATGGCGGGGGAGGCAGGGGCACGGGGCCCAGTGGGAGCTGAGGGATTGAGGGAGAGGAGAGGCAGGAGGGGTGAGGTTGGGGAGCAGGTGGAGGGGTGAGGAGGGGGAGCGGGAGGGATGAGGTGGGGGAGCGAGAGGAATGAGGTGGAGGAACAGGAGGGGGGAGATGGAGCAGGTGGAGGGGTGAGGTTGGAGAGCAGGAGGGGTGAGGTGGGGGGCCAGGAGGGGTGAGGTCGGGGAGTAGGTGGAGGGGTGAGGTAGGGGAGCGGGGGCAGCAGGCTCAGGCAAGTTGACTCAGTGGGAGCACTGAGGCTAGTGGGAACACTCAGTACAGACTTCGCAGAGAGCACTGAGCTGGGAGCACGGGTTGTGGATGGACATGACCAGCTAAGGTGTCTGGATGCAAGTCCAGTGGCCAGGAGAGTGGCAGGGCCAGCCTTGTCAGGCTGTTCACATAGCGGATCCTGTGGAGAAGGTCTGTCTGGGTTCGACGAGCAACGCCAGCCAAACAGGTGGTCCCAGCGTGCAGAGGGAGCCGAGCCGGTTAGTCTCTCCTGCCCACACACGTGGACACTAACGACCCAGCCTGATGGGTGCGGCAGAGTCGAGGGCACAGTCTCCCCATTCTGCTCCCTGGAAGTGCTCCCCGGGCATGCGGGTGAAGCCCACGGGCGTGTTTGTGGCTCTGCAGACCCTTCACGGCGCAGCACGCAGCTGTGGTTCCTTCTGGAACGAACAACCTGACGTGCAGATGTGCAGCGCTCTGTTCATCTGCTCCTGCAGGGCTGGCCCGGCAGGCGACAGACACTCCCCCGAGCACAGCCCACTGCACGGCACTGCCCGTGGGTCTCCTCATGTAGCCGAGCGCGGCCCGGGCTGAGGAAGCGAGATGCGGCCAGGCGGGAGTGGCCCCACTGCCCGCGGAGCACCGTCATGAGGGATTGTGTGGGGCAGCGATGTGAGGGCGCGCCCAACACACGGGCATCCAGAGCTGGGCCTAGTTCCCGCATCCTTTCCCGTCTGTGGGGCGGGATGGTATGGAAGGAAACCCGGCACACGCCCCCCTGCCCAGGCCCAGACGCGGCCAGCGACATCCCTGCCTGGAGGAGTTTTGACGCCGACTCCCCGCGAGGCAAACAAGTGTCCACTCCCACGTGCTTCCCGCCCCCTTGGAGCGCCTGCTGGTGCTGGGGCCTGGCCAGAGGGGCCACTGGGGCCTCTGCCGAGGGCAGGGGGTGCTGCAGGCGGAGGTGGGACACCCCCGCGAGGCGGGCTGCACCCAGGATCTGCAGAGAGGGCTGCAGGCCTCCGGCGCTCGCTCTGCGGTATGCACACGTGTCTGTGCATGTGTGTCCATGCATGCGTGTGTGCAAGCATGTGTGTGCGCGTCTCATGCCTGCACTGTGTGTGTCAGAGTCGTTCCAGGTCCCTCCCACCACCCCCAGCTCCCCTTTTGCCCGCCGCCCCGCTGCTGGTCTTTTATGCCTGCGCTGCCTTCCAGAAGTTGCAGGCAGTTTCCAGACCCTGAGTCACTGTCCCGGGAGACTAGTGACAGGCTGAGCCCCGGCACAGCCAGGAAGCACAGAGAAACCAATTTATCCGGCTCAGGGCCCGCACAGGTAACACTGGGGTCTTATTAGTGGGACGAGGAGGCCAGGCTGGCGGGCCGGGCACGTGCCTGGCGGGCCGGGCACGTGCCTGGGGACCATAGGGGCAGTGGCCTGAGGAGTCGCAACGTTCCTTTAAATGGCTTCCACGTTGCCAATTACCCGTTTCCGACGCTAATGGGGGTTTCCGAGCGCAGAGGGTGAGTCGGAGCCAGTAATGAAGGCTGTGCCTCGTGGTGAGCACAGCGGCCCGAGCACCCTCGTGACCAAGGAGCAAACAGGTGGGGGGTCCCATCCCCAGCACCCCATAAAATCCCCCGAGCACCACCAGAAGAGACCTGGGCACTGCCAAGATGGGCCCAAATGCCAAAAGGAAAAACAAACACAGACATTGCCCCGTAGGGTGCGGCGCGCCTGGTCTCTGCTGACGGGGCCAGCGGGCTCTCGACTTCAGGGACACTCGGCCGGGAGCCCAAAACCCCGACAGCACTGGGGCCTGGAAGCAACTCAGGTAAGTCTCTGCCCCCGAGAAGCTTCGGCGCAAGCCGGCGCCCCCCACCCAGGGCCGCACGGGTGCGACTCACCCTCACACTTGAGCAGGAAGAAGTCATGGCCGTGGCTGAAGGAGGCGCTGAAGTAGGTGCAGTTGTCCACCAGGTCACAGGACAGGCACTGCCGGTTGAAGCTGCCCACGGTGCTGGCACTGGGGGAGTGGGGGCCGTGAGTGCTCCCGGGGTCAGAGGCCGTGAGTGATCCCAGGGAGCAGAGGCCATGAGTGCTCCCAAGGAGTGGGGGTCATGAGTGCTCCTAGGGAGTGGGGGCTGTGAGTGCTCCCAGGGAGCAGAGGCCGTGAGTGCTCCCAGGAAGTGGGGGCTCTGAGTGCTCCCAGGGAGCAGAGGCTGTGAGTGCTCCCAGGGAGTGGGGGCTGTGAGTGCTCCCGGGAGCGGAGGCCATGAATGCTCCCGGGAAGTGGGGGGGTATGAGTGCTCCCAGGAGAACAGAGGTCATGAATGCTCCCAGGGAGTAGAGGTGTGAGTGCTCCCGGGGAGTGGAGGCTGTGAGTGCTCCCAGGAAGTGGAGGCTGTAGGTGCTCCCGAGCCTTCTGCCCCACAGGAGGTCACCTTCCCTCCCGTGGTGACTTTTGGCACGCGGCCCACCGCACCCGTGTGGGTCCTCCTCGGGCCCCAGATGAGGAGCCCAGTCGCCGGCCCCCCACAGGGCCAGGAGCTCACACCTGGGGGTGCACTCGGGAGTGGGGGGTCGGTCTGCTCAAGTCCACTCACCACAGGAGCCTCAGGTGCTGGCCGCCCCCCTCCCGCCAGCTACTCAGGAGAGGGACAGAGATGGTACCCGGGACGCACCTGTAGAGCTGCCGGCGCCGCGGGAGGTCCTCGGTGCTGAGGAAGTAGCTGCGGGCGGGAGGGGCGGGTCTCACGGTGCAGCCCATCGCGCCCATCCCGGCTCCGGGGTCCCTGACGGGCTGAGACTTGCGTGCCCGCTCCAGGCCCAGCTCGCGGCTGGGCGGACTTGGGGCTGGCACTTGGGCTCTGGGTGTGGGGGGACCCTGGGCCAGGACTTTGGAGTCTCCCGCCTCTGCCCGAGTCCCTCTGCCTCTAGGACGGGAATGGAGGCGTTGCCTCTGGCCTGGGTGTTGGGGCGGGGTGGTGCCCAGCTCTCACGACATGGCCTGGATGAGCAGAGCCACCAGCCAGGCACCCTCGGAGGCCTCCACACCCGCCCACGGGCCATCTCTTGTCCGTCCCTGGCATCCCGGCTGGGCCTCTGTGAGTGGACAAAGGCCCGTCCTCATCTTCCACAGAAAGCGAGGGAAGGGGCGCAGGGCCCACACAGGCATCCCAGACCCGTCTGGCGCCGCAGCCCGGGGGGGACAGTGTGGCCAGGGCTGCCCCCCGCCCTCCCCCCCGGCCCCTCCCCCCTCACATCTTGTTGCGCTTCTCGTCGTAGGACAGGATCTTGGTGACGTCCCAGTCCCCGGAGGTGATGGACTGGATGTTGTCGTTGCTGCTGTTGGGCTGGAACAGACAGGACACAGGGCAGTGAGCCGGGCTGAGGAGGGTCCGGCTGCCCCCTCTGCCCTCCTGCTGGCTGAAGAGGACATGACCGCCAGCCACGGGGACCTCACAGGACCTCTGAGCAGGGCTGGAGCTCTGGGGACGGAGGGACTGGGAGGAGAGGGGCCAGGGACTGCAGAGGACGGGTGCATGGTCCGGGAGGGTCTCAGCGAGGCTGACCAGGCAGGTGAAGGGAAATGCTTTAGACCTGGACCCTGGGTGCAGGCGGCCCTGGCGGGTGCCACAGTCCAAAACACTGCTGGCACAGGTCTGGGGGGGTGCAGGGGGTCTGCAGGTCATGAAAGGGGCTCAGCCAGGCTGGAGCCCCGAGGAGCAGCCAAGGCAGCTGGACCCTGGCCAGGTGGGGCCCTGGCACCGCCCAAAGCTCCGGCTGGTCCACCTGGCCTGTGGCTTTGATGATCAAACCCAAAGGACCTTAGAGGAGACAGGAGGGGCTGTGGGGGCTCTGGGTGGGGGTCTTGCAGGAGCAGCACCCCCAGACCACGTGCTCTGGGTCTCAGTTCCTGGGAAACTCAGGGTTCCGAGCTCCGTGGGACTTGGCCCGTCCTCCTCCTCAGCACGGCTGTGTCCAGCCTTGGCCATGGCCAGCAGGGCTTTGCATCCACCCTGGCGGGCCCAGTAGTGACTGTGGATGCTGTGAGAGGACTGTGGGTCCTCATGGCACGGGTCTCAACAGGTCAGACGCAGGACTGGGGGGCCCCCAGCGCAGGACACTGCAGGGACAAGTGAGGGTCCCCAGCACTGCCCGCCCCTGCCGCCGGGCTCAGGCGGGAACCCCAGATGCCAGCACGGGGCGGGGCCCCGGGGCAGCTTACCTGGGATGAGGACACGGTGATGTGGTAGAACTTGCCCTGGCCGCCCTGCGGGATGGCGCGGACGAAGAAGAAGGTGCGTCCGTCCCTGGAGAACACGGGCTCCTCGTTCTGCGGGCAAGAGGGTTGGTCAGGGAGCGCCCAGACAGCCAGGCGGCCCGGTGCCAGGGGCAGCTCTCTCGGGGATGGTGGGTGGGGTGTCAGCCCTCAGGCTCCGGTTCCTGGGGAAGAGGAAGGTTGAGGGTTGGAGGTGGGGCCTGAGTAGCAGGGGACAGTCAGCTGGGGCTTGGTGCTGCCCCTGATGGCACAGGAAGAGGGAGCCTGGGATGTGCTCAGTGCTGCCCCCATGTGGATGCAGTGAGACGGTGCCCCAGGCTGTGCTCGGTGCTGCCCCCAGGTGGATGCAGTGAGACGGTGCCCCAGGCTGTGCTTGGTGCTGCTCCCAGGTGTATGCAGTGAGAAGGCTTCTGGGGCTGTGCTCGGTGCTGCCCCCATGTGGATGCAGTGAGATGGTACCCCAGGCTGTGCTCGGTGCTGTCGCCAGGTGGATGCAGTGAGGCTTCTGGGGCTGTGCTCAGTGCTGCCCCCATTTGGATGCAGGGAGACGGTGCCCCAGGCTATGTTTGGTGGTGCCCCCATGTGGATGCAGTGAGATGGTGCCCCAGGCTGTGCTCAGTGCTGCCCCCATGTGGATGCAGTGAGGCAGTGCCCCAGGCTGGCTGTGCTTGGTACTGCCCCCACGTGGATGCAGGGAGATGGTGCCCCAGGCTGGCTTGGTGCTGCCCCCATGTGGATACAGTGAGGCAGTGCCCCAGGTTGTGCTCGGTGCTGCCCCCACGTGGATGCAGGGAGTAGGTGCAGCAGAGTCCGGCTGGGGCGGAAAGGAGGCTGCCCAGGGGGCCCTGCAGCGCCTGGGCAGGAGCTGCTCCCTGCAGGCAGGACTGTGCACGTCTCTAGGCTGGAGGCAGCTGCTCCACCTCAGCCTGATCCTGACAGCCACGCTCCTGCTCAGCTGCCCGCAGCCCCTCACGCCTTGACACTGTAGAAGGGGCGTTTTGCTCCGTCGCAGCGTGGGCAGCTTCGGTGCCTCTGAAGTTCCAGCTGGAAAGTCCCCGTCCCCGAACACCGACCAGCTGACTCGAGACGCTTTGTCACTCCCCGTGCTGCGTGCTGGTGCGGGGAAGGAGAACCCGCAGTAAATCAACGCAGCGCGGGAACACATGCAAATAGGATGTGCCCAGAGCAGCGCTGACACGGGATTAAAGCGACATTCAACCTTCATGAATATTTGCGATAAAATGAGACCTTTAATCTGCAAACATTTATTTTCCTATTTAGAGCCGGGAGCACGGCATTTGGGAGGAGCGGGGGGAGGCCAGGCCATGCTTGGCTTTTAAAGGCGCTTCTCTTGCCCGCAGTAGCGCCGACACACCGGTACAGATTGTCTTGTTCTTCTGGGCAAGTGTTTGCACCTTAGGCAGAGAAAAATACTCCTAAAAGATAGGAAAATCTTCTTTTTTTCCTTCTTATATTGGGGCCACACCCAGCAGTGCTCAGGGGTCACTCCTGGTGGGAATCGGGGGTCCATACGTGATGTCGGGGAGTGAACCAAGGTCGACCACGTGCAGGGCAAACACCCTCCCCATTGCACGATCGCTCCGACCACGAGAAAGCTCCTCAGTGAGTGTAACAGGTGCTTCTATCCGGAGCACTGCGGAGGAGCCTTGGTCTGTCTCCGTCGTCTCCACGCAGCTGGTGAGCACCACATGACCCCTTCCGAGACAGGCTTCTCCCCTCGAGGCGTCTGCAGTGAAAAGGCGCCAGGAATTTGGAGCAGGGTCCCGCAGGGATGAGAGGTTCATTCCCCATGATGCCCGTTTTCCTCACTTCCTGCGCAGACCCGGAAGCCCCCGGCCTGCAGGGTCTCAGCAGCTCTGCAGTGGGGACATCCATTCTGGCCTGGACAAGGGTAGACCCTTGAGAAGGGCCCCTTCCCCTCTGGGGGTCCTTAGCAGTCGGCTCACCATCGCCTGAGGGTGGATCCAAGCCAGCACCCGCCAACTGCACAGGGCCTGAGTCTGGACACGCTGTGACGTGTACCGGCACTGGCTCACCCTCTCCTGCGCCCCCAGTGGGAGGGAGTCTGGCCTGGCTCACGGAGGGGCTGAACCTTGGGTGACAGCTCAGGGCTTTCTCAGACCCTCTGCCCGAGCATCGTCCCACTGGGTCCATCCTGAGACGCCGGGCCAGGCACCGTGTAGAGCTTCTCAGCTGTGCTTGGCACCACTCGGCCTGGCTTCCAGGGGGCACCTCAGAGTCCCAAGCCCCTCTCACACACGACCTGGCCTCAGCTCGGATCTGATACCAAACTTGGACAGGAAAACCAACTGTGGGAATGTGGGTGTGACTGGCAGAGCTGAGAGGAAGCATCACATCGCGACGGGGGAGGCCATGGGCCCCAGGAGAATGGCCACGTGGCTCCACCCACAGACAAAGAAAGTGCGTTTCATTCAGAGTTGCTAGAACATTCTGGAAGAGTCATCACTGCTGCACGTCCACCTCTGTCTTTGACACAAAGGACACTTTGACGTCGTGGAAGGACACGCCTGCAGCCTCTACTCGACGTTTGAAACTCGAATCTGGTTTGATTTTTCGGGAATTTTTATCCCACTAGGTAAGGGGAAGAAGGAAGGACGTTTCCAATCTGCCCACCTGTTCTTTGCAGTGTCAGGATGTGGAGGGAGACAAAAGTCACGAAAGGATTTACTGATGATAGCCTGCTCTTCTCTGGAAAGTGGAGGCCGTGTGTGGCGGGCAGCCCTGCCGGCCTCAGAGCCTCTCATCCGTCTCCCGCGCGCTTCCGCGGGACGGTTCTGAAGCCAGTTTCCCCAGGAAGGTTCAGCCGCACGGCAGTGGGTCCACTTCTAAGAGGCAGCCACAGGGGCCACGCTGAGAAGCGGGCACAAGCCTGTCTCAGCCCCTTTGATGGCGTCAGGCGTCTCTGGCGGGCCGACGTGCTCACCATTTCAATCCGCCAGCAGGACGTCACCTGGGCGGGGCACGCTCTGGGCAGCGGGGCAAAAGCTCTTCCGCACAGCTGCGGGTCTCGGGCCGAGCCGAAGTGGCGGCTGGTCAGGGCTGAGCACCCCCGACCCCACCCCCACCGACACAGATGCCCAGGGCGGGGGGCTCGCTTCTGTACCCACAGCTGGACTGCTGTGCTGGTGTGGGCGGAGAAGGGGGGCTCTTTTGGGGTCACACCCAGCGCTGCTCCTGACTCTGCACTCAGGAATCACTCCTGGCGGTGACAGGGGACCACGTGGGTGCAGGAGTTGGACCCGCGTCGGCTGCGCGCAGGCAGGTGCCCTCCCCGTCCGGAAGGAGCGGCTAGCGGGTCATTACCTGTCTGTGCAGCCAGGCGTCGCTCTCGTCCTCGTGTTTCTGGAAGGAGAGAGAGTGTCAGAGGCGTGCAGGGGGCAGCGCTGGGCTGGGCAGTTGCCCTGCGAGTGGTGGAACTGAGTCTGGCTCCCGGAGCCACAGGGTTTCCAGGTCGGAGCCGGACCAGCCCAGCACAGCACAGCCTGCGCGGAGACACACAGAAACTTCATGGAATCCTGAGTCCCGCTGGCCACGGGTGGGTTTGGATGACCATGCTGGGTCAGAGGGACACAGGCAGAGCGTGCGGTCCCAGCGACACAGAAACCACACGGCCGGAGGCTCCAGAACCTGCAGGCTGCCCTGGAGAGGAGTTGGGGGGGCGGGGAGGGGGACACAGGCTGGGGAGGGGCTCGGATGCTGGGGGGTGGTTTGAATGGTGCATGCATGGAACCCTATTAGCACTACTATAAGTCACAGTGCCTGAAACCATAAATAAAAATTAACTTTTTAAAAAGGAAATGGTCTCAGCACCACGTCACTATCCCCAAGGAACAGGACGCCCCTGAAGGCGAGAGGGGAGCAGGGATCTGTCCGTGGTGCTGACCAGGTCACCGCAGGGACTGTCCGCGGTGCTGACCCCCACACAGGTTCTCTGCATCCTCCCTCCTGGCCGGCGCCCAGCTCAGCCCCTCCTTCCTTCCTCCCCTTAGAGCAGGGGTCCTGGTGACACCCGGGTGCAGCCGGTGGTCTTGCCTGAGTCCCTGGGGCTTGAGTGGGAGAAACGTGCCCATCTATGGAGCCCGAGGGCGTCCCCTGGGGAGCCCTGGGGCAGGGTGGGACGTGCCCTCTGCTGCTCTGGGGCCCTCTCACCCCCACCCCCTGCAGGGACTCTGCGGGGAGTGGGTGGGGGAGGGGTGGAGAGGGGCCGGCTTCCCTGCCCCGCGGTCTCAGTGTCAGCTGGGGGACGAGGGGGCTCGGCCGGCCATGCAGGGGGTGGTCGTGGCGGCCAGCCCGCGGTGTCCTCCGGGGACCCGAGCGAGTCTGGCTGCAGTCCTCGGTCCCCCCGCCAGGTGGCGCCGCGCCCGCCTACCTTGGTGCAGACTCCCGTGGTGGCGTCGCACAGCGTCAGGATGGACACGTTCTGCGCGCGGCTCAGCCAGTTCACGGCGACCTTGGTGCTGGTGGCCCACTTCACCATGGTGATGTAGTGCTCCCTGGCGGGAAGGCGGGGTGAGCCGAGGAGCGGACGGTCAGGCGGGTGGGGGGGGTTGTGGCAAAGCCCAAGGGCAGGGCGGGGCGGGAGGGTGAGCCTGGCACCCTCAGGCCCCACAGATCCTCCTGACTGGGCACAGGAGCGGGCAAAGGAGCGAGAGGGCACGCCTCCTTTCCTGCGACGGACTCCGCAGTGGCCTCCCGGGCACCGGCAGGGGTGAAGCCGGTCCCCACCCACCCCTGGCCAACTGGAGCAGGGGCGCAGCTCAGAGGCAGAAGCCGTGGTTCCTCCGGGGCACAGGGCATGCCCAGGCCCCCCCAGTGGGCCACCTGGTCACAGGCAGCCTCCTAGGACAGGGCCCACCCGGAGAATGAGCGGGAGCAGCTCACGTGCCGGGCGGGCTGCGTCCCTCTGGAGTCGGGTCCCCTCGGTGGGAACACGCTTCCTCCATGCAGCCGCACAATGCCCGGATTCAGCCCGAACCACCACAGACGCGGCCAGAACCCCCCCCCCGCCCCCACACACACACACACATGCTGACCCCGAGGCCGGCTCGCTGGGTCTCGGCGCTGGGCTCAGAAGTGAAGGAGGGCTGGGGAGGGGTGTCAGCAAACAGGTGGCCGAGAGGGTGGGCAGGGGTCTGGGCGGCATGAGGAGCGAGGAGCACTCCTGAGCAGAAACCCCGAGGTGGGACCCCAGGGGAGAACGGGGTGGGCTGTGCTGGCCACTTGCTGCCTGGCCGGCCCCGCAGGCCGGCGGGGGGGCGTCTGGGGCTGAGGGGGCAGCGAGGAGGCTTCGGGCAGAGGCCACGAGAGCCACGGCCCCCGCGAGTGCGAGCCCTTCTGCAACACGCCCCTTGCCCGGGGTGACGGAGCCTGGGCACACGGGAGGGCGCAGCTTGGCGGGAAACGTGCCAAGTCTCCGCGCTCCGGCCACGGGGCCCGACTCAGAGCTGAGACGCTGCCCGGGGCGCCGGCCATGAATTTTTTATCAGCCCATTTGTTGGGCATGAAATATTAACCGCGGCCCGCGGCTCTGTCCCGGAGGCGGGGCCATGTCATTTCCTGGCGCAGATGCGGCAGAGGCCGTGACAGCCGAGCCGAGCAGCAGCAGGACGGAGAACAAAGCCGGCAGAGTCTGGGCCAGCTCGGACCCTGCGGGGGCGGGAGGGAGTGACAGCGGCTGTGGTGACCAGAGGCCACACGCCGGCTCTGCACGGGCCTGGGCAGGGAGTCGCCGCCAGCTGTCAGCTCAGGACTCCCCGGCTGGACCTGGGCTCCTCCCAGCAGGGAGGGGGGAGGAGCGGCACGCCCGGGTCCGAGAGCGAGAGAGGCGCCCCACCCACCTGCCTTCGGTCTGTCCCGGCACGCACTATACCCCTCCCCGCCTGTGTCAGCGCCCGCCCCGTCCCGCACCCTCTCTCTGTCCATTCGTCTGTCTGTGCTGTCCCTCAGCCTGTCCCCTCCCTCCTGACTTGGGCGTGACGGCGAGTAGGGTCCTCCCGGGCCTGGTCCGGGCCAGCGCCCAGAGGGGGCCGGGGCCCCCCGTGTCTGTCGTGGGGGCCGAGTCCCACCCTGACCCGCGTAGAACCTCCCTGGCTCGCTGTGGGCGGGCGGAAGTGGGGCTGCGGCCGGGGGGCGGTCCCCAGATCTGAGGTGGCTGTGGCCCGGCTGCTTCCTCCCTCCGTGGCTGAGGAGCTGAAGGGGCCGAGAAGCTTCCGGCACGCAGAGACTGGAGGTCCTGAGCGGACATGCCGCGGCCCCACCCACTCGGCACAGGGGCACCCCCGACACCTCTGAGCCCGGCCGTGGGGCGGCCGAGCCTTGTCCGGGCTCCCAGATCTGGGCTCAGATTCGCAGAGCGAGGTCGCTTCGGGCCCCGACGGGGGCACAGCGGGCACGAGCTCTCCCCACACCTGCGACCCCCAGCCCGACCCACCTGATGAGGAGGGAGGGATTTGCTGCCCCCGACGCCCCAAGAGGCACCACGGGGAGGCCGGTGAGCTGATGCCCGGTGCTCCCCACATGAGGGCACTGGGGGTCTCGCGCTCAGATGCTCCGTCATCCCCAAGGAGGCGCAACTTGGACATCGGTGGCCAGGAGGGGACAGTTCAGGCGGCACAGGGGAGATGGCCCAGCAGTGAGGGCCCGGGCCAGCCTGGAGCAGGATGACCGTCAGGCCAGCGGCCCCGCTGGATGGGGCGGGGGGGCCTCAGAGACCCTGGAACCCCGGGCAGATGCACCGTAAGGCACAGCCCTGGACACTCTCTGCGGGAAGCACCCCCGGGTGCTGGTCCCTGCCGGCCCGGCCACCCCAGAAAAGCAGCTGCCCCAGGCTGGGCTTTGCAGGACAGTGCCTAGCGCACGGCCAGCCTCACAAGGGACAACCCCCCCCCCTGCAGGTGACCCTCCACGCCCTTCCCGCAGGGCCTGGCCTGGGGCACTTCCCACAGGGACCATCCCTCCCCAGGGCCCCCGGGGCCATCAGTGACCCGAGCTGTGGCCCCACCTGCGAGAGCCCCTCTCCAGGCTCAGGAGCCTCGTGGGTGCCCAGGACAGTCGCAAACCCTCCAGGGCATGTGGAGCAGGGGGCTGCTCGGGGCAAGGCGCCCGGTGCCCCTCCCCGCCCGGCTGGGGCTAATTTGTCATTGTCCTTGAAGCCGATCAAGCCCGCGGAAACAGGATCACCAAATTGACTCAACGAGATTTTCAATTAACTCAGACAGATGGCTTCAATTTTCCAGGTGACTTTGCTCATTAATTCCGCCCGGCGGCTGGGGGGGGGGGGGGTGGCGGAGCGAGGGGCCGGGCGGGCTGGAAGCTTTGGGAGGGCAGAGCAGGTGGACTCGCTGGCCGAGTCCCCCCCGGAGTGGACGCGGGTGGGGAACGCTGGGACCACCGAGTACCGCGGCCCCGGGAGGAGAAGCAGTGGCCACCGACGCCCGAGGCCGAGAGCAGCAGGTGGCCCTCGGGGACACAGGCTGGGAGCCCTGTGGCAGCCACCTCCCCCTCTGCCCCAGTCACTTCCTTCACCTGAGGTCTCCTTGGCCATCAGGGTCCGACCGGGTGTTCCGTCCCCGCAGCCAACTCCAGCGCCAGCCCCTCTGGCCCTGCCTGGAGCCTGTGCCCACCACGGGCAGCTTTGGGCACGGAGCCATGGCCTGGATGTCTCGCCAGAGTGGACATGGTCACGTGGCACGGTCACACAGGGGACTTCGCACCGCAGACCACGGAGGGACATCACGCCACACAGACCATGAGAGGGATGTGATGCTACACAGCCCACGGGGGGGGGGGTGGGAAGGGGGCCACACAGCCCCAGGCAGGACGTCACGCGACAGCCACCCGCAGGAGAGCGTCGCGCCCTGCTGCCGTCACCCACCTCATGCGGGGGTCGTCGGGGGGCGTCATCTCCAGGTCGTGGGTGGGTCCGTTCAGGCCGATGACATGCAGGGAGATGCTGGGGTTCTCGCAGCCAGCCTGGGCGGGGCGGGAGGGTCAGCATGGGGGCCGCCGTCCCGTCCCCAGGGTGGGTGACACACCACGGGGGCCCTCGAGGAATCAGCGTTGTGACCGGGTGTGGGGCTCCATGCTGGCCCCTCCCAGGGGCACGGAGGCTGCTCCAGGCGGGACCCCCTGTACTGCAGGGGACGGGGCGCCCGGGAGGCTCCCAGGGCTGCTGGACTGTCCACCGGGATCCGCGGCCCAGACTGCTCGGCCTCAAGGGGGGGACGGCCAGGAAAGGGCATTTCAGAGGGAAAAACCTCAAACCTGGGAGTTGGAGGAGGGTCAGGGCCACGCGTGTATGTGCTTGGTATGTGTCACATGTGTGCAGGTCACGAGGTGCATGGGATCACGTGTGTGATGTGTTGTGTGACCGTGTGTCACACCTGTGTATAACGTATGTGGGGTATGGGTGTGTATGGGGATGGTTTGTGTGTACAGAGGGTACCTGGGGATGTGTGTACATGTGCGTGACGTGTGGTCTGTATGACACGCACGTTATGCTGTGTGTGAGGTGCAGGGCGCATGTATGCAGTGTGTGCTGTGTCAGATGTGACGTGTGTGGCACGCCATGTGTACTGTGTGCTGTGTGTACCGTGTGACGTGAATGTTGCATCATGTGGTGTGTGTGTGTGTGTGTGTGTGTGTGTGTGTGTGAGACGTGTGGTGCGTGCAACGCCTGGTGTCAGTGTTCTGTGGGGGTGCAGGGGGGAGGCAGGCGGGGGGCTCTCTCCCTGGGGAAGGGCTGTGGAGGGGCCAGGTGGGAGCAGGCGCGGGAGGGGGGGACCTGCTGAGTGACGGCAGGGGGTGACAAAGACACACGTCCCAGCAAGGCCAGCAGGCAAGGCGTGAAGGGTGGGCGGGGAGCCCCTCCCCCCTCAGCCCCTTCCCCTCCCCGTCCCCCCCCCAGCCCGTCTGGCCGCTGCCCTCCCAGAAGCCACCAGCAGGGGGAGCATGTCCGGGGGGGGGGGGGGCGCCTGTCACCCTGCAGCTTCGAGGGTGGGTGGACGCGGGTTCCCACGGGCCTGGCGAGACCAGACGAAGGGCCACGCTCAGGGAGGGCAAGTTGCTGGGGGGTGGTGGGGGGTGGGAGCTGAGGGCGGGTGGGGCAGCCCCCGGGCCGGGCCCGCCTACCTTGGGGTAGTGGTAGGTCTTGGCCGTGGGGTACGCGGAGCCCGTGTAGCTGGGCAGCTCCATGAGCGGCACGCGGGAGTCGTTGATGGTGGCGTAGGCGAGCCGCGTGCCGTCCGGGGACCACCAGTGGGCGATGTGGCTCTTCAGGATCTCCTCTGGGGACACGGGGCAGGGGTCAGCGGGCGGGTCCCGGGGGCCGGCAGCAGAGCACCCGCACCAGGCACACCCACAGGAGAGCCTGCACCACGGCCCGTTCCCCAGAGCCCTGTGCCCTACGGTGCTCCCAGCACAGTGCTCCCACCATAGTGCCCCCCCAAGTCCCCCCAGACGCTGGCCATCGGGGCACCTTCGTCTCCTGCACAGGCCGAGTGGCTCTTACGGCATTCCTGAGGTGGGCACCGGCCCACAGTGGGGCTCTGGTCAGCGGGAGGGAAGGGCAGTAGGGAACCGGCCTGGCAGGTGCAAAGGGAGCCCGATTCCCACCCAGGCCTCCACCCGCTGTCACTGTGCTCGATGGTGGGACTCGGGGCCCCCCTGGGGGACGAGTCCATGCAGGGCATCTTGGCCGTGTGCAGCCGGGCGAGGGATGTCGACCGGGCACGGGGCCTCTGGACTCGGGGCCTCCAGCCACTGTGACGCCCTGTCTGCCCTGCAGCTGACGGCCTCATGGCAGTGGACACAGGGCTGGACGGCCAGAGCTCAGCATGGGCATGGGCCTCACCGTAGTGGACATGCAGCCCCTTGATGGCCCCAGGAGTCAGTGACACAGATGAGAACTTCCCTCCCGAGCTGCTGATGGGCAGTTACTGAATCTCTGACTGATGGGTAGCTACGTAACTGCACCAGGGCGGCCGTGGGCATAGAGGGCCCCTGGGGGTGGCCGGGCAGAGGTGCTGGGCTGCCACCCTGATCACCCCCGGGTGGCCCCCGGCCTCTGGCACACCCAGGGACAGTGCCCCGTGCCCTAAGGGCACAGCCCAGCTCCCAGACGGTGGCCCCTGGACCTCACCTTCGTACAGCCAGTCGCTGAGGCCGTTGAAGATCACGCCCTCCTTCCCCGTGGACACCACGCGGATGGCCTGCTTGCCCACGTGGGCGCAGTAGTAGATGTTGTTCTCGAAGATGAAGATCTGAAGCGGGAGAGAGACGCCGTCAGCTTCCTGTGGTTGCCGGGGAACGGGAAGACGTCGCCGTGGCCGTCCCCGGTCCCGCCCGCTGCCCGTCGCCTTGGCCCGTCCCTCCCTCCCCCGCCACTTGGCCCCCAGGCTCTGTGCCGGGTCAGCACTGTCCATCCCCTGGTTGTGGTCTCCGTGTTCGTGGCCGGAGTAGGTGGCCGGCAGTGTCCTTCACTGACTCCCCGTTCCTCAAACCACAGAGGGGGGGTCTCTGCTCTAAGCCTGACCGCCCCCCCCGGCTCCTGGCACCCCCCACGTGTGCTGGGGCCTGACCCCGGCTGGCGCCAACCCCTGAGGCTCTGGGGGACGCTCATGTTGCTTCCCAGAAGCGTCACCGCAGCAGGAGGGAACCCTGGGGGCTCACGTGGGCCCCCACGGTCCCGCCCTCTCGAGCCACCAGCCTGGGTACCCCATAGCATGACGGAGACACTGGCCCAAACTCCGAGGAAGAAGCACCCAGGCCCGTCGTCTGCAAAGTCCCTTCCCTGGCCTGGCATTTTCTCACCGTTTGAGCCAATTCGTGGCCCAGACCCGAGACGTCCAGGGAAGGGCTGGCGGCCACTGCAGTCTGGGAGCTGTATGTGAACGACCCAGCCTCTACTGCCCTGCGGGTCCTTCAGGCCCACCCACGGCGGGGGAAACTGAGGCCCAGGTCAAGCACAGGGCTGGCCCAGGATCAATCCCTGAGAACAGCTGGGTGCCCTGGAGAACAGCCTGGAGGTCCAGCCCTGGAGGGGCAGTTTCTGCATCCGTGGAACTTTGCATCAGCCAAATGATCCGGCTGGCAAGAATTTTGTGAGTGGCCATAGGGCCTTCTGAGCACCACTCGGCCCCCCAAATGTCCAGTCCTGGGTATGGCAGGCTGGGTGTCAGTCCACACAGGCTGATACTGGCCTTGGGTCCCCTCCACGGTGGGGGAGCGCCCCCGAGGGACCCTACCCCAACCCTCTGAAGACTTGCTGTGAAGCCCCGTGCTAGGAGTTACTTTTTTTCTCAATCAGTTATTCATTTTTCCGCCTTCTCTTCCTCCTCCCTCAGTATAAACTCTGTTGAGATATTTTTCAGTTGCAACAGAACATCTATGTTCTCAGCATAGAAGTGGCGAAGCGGAAATACCCAAACTGACCCCCATCATCACTGATTCCGGACAGACGAGCGAGCCCTGGGCCCGAGGTTTCTCCTTAGTCACTAACAAGGGAAGGGGTGAGGGCAGACGCAGACGCCCAGCTCAGAGAGCACTGAGTCCCGAGTCACTTCCTTCGCCATCGACCCAGACTCCTTAATCTGCTCCTCCTGTGCCCAGACTCATGTGCCAGCTCGCGCCGGGCTCTGTGTGTTTGCTATAATTAGACCCACTTTTGTGCTTGTCTTTATTTAAGCGGCTTTTTCGCAAAGCAATTTGCGTCAAACTCAGTCCTGTGATTTAGCACATCAGCGGAGCATCCACCATGGACACAGACGCCAAAGTTCTAAAGAAAGTGTGAGCTGAAACCTCCAGCACAGGGCTGGAGCGATAGCACAGCGGGGAGGGCATTTGCCTTGCATGCAGCCGGCCCAGGTTCGATTCCCGGCATCCCATAGGGTCCCCCGAGCACCGCCAGGAGTCATTCCTGAGTGCAGAGCCAGGAGGAAGCCCTGAGCATCGCCGGGTGTGACCCAAAAAGCAAAAATAAAATAAAATAAAATAAAAGTCCCCTGGGTGCTGTCAGCAGCAGCCACGGCTGAGCAGAACTTCAGTCACAATGCCCGTGGCAATAAGCATGGTCTGAGGAGACGCTGCATCTCCTCAGCTCCCACGGCTCGTCCGTGGGTGCGGAGGGGCCCGGAGCTGCCTCGGTGCCCCTTAGAGCCCCTTCCCCTGCCTCTCTCCACGGTCCCCAGGACCCGCCTCCTGCCCGTGCTGGGGTCACTCCATCGGGCCAGACTCCCTTGCCTCGAGGCTGCATGCAGGGCCAGGCTGGCCCTCAGGGTCTCCCGTGAAGCCCCGTCAGTGTTTCCAGCTTTGGGGCCCTCAGGGGCCATCACGAAGTCCTGCAGGCTCATGCAGGGACTCGGCCACGACCCTGTCACAGGGACCGGCCTGGGCAGGTGCAAACACCCCCCCCCCCCCCCCCCGTGTCCAGCGGAGAAGACACGCTCACCCTCGATGGCAGACTGGGGGTCGCCTCCCCCGGCCGCTGCCCGGAAGGGAGAATTCCTTCCCGACAGCCTCATCACAGACCCGGGGGCTCGTTAAAAGCACTTTCCTCGTGTCACGCCCGGGCTCTGCGCTTGGCGTCCATGTGATGGATGGGCCCCAAATTCTCTAACTCAATACTCCCCAGGCTCTCGTGGGGGCCCCAAATTAGATTCCTCCCTGGAGCTAATCTGGCCCGGCCTCCAGCATTAGGGAAACTTGGCCGGGGTTGGGGGGCGGTTAGTCTGGAGATGGATGAGCTCGACCCCCTGGGCTCCAGCCCTCAGCGACCTTTCTCGTAATTTCATTTCAGCACATAGGCGGGTCGGGGGGCTTGCGGCAGACCCCGGGAGAAGGACACGCAGCAGGGCCGCAGCGGGGAGGGGAAGGGGCCGCGTTCCAAGGCTGGGCCCTCCCGCCGCCCCAGACCTGCTTCTGTTCAGTGCGATCCTCAGATCTCGGGCGTAACAAAACGTTTTCTTCCTTATTTCTTGGTGCGGTGGGGCCAAACCAGTGCCGCTCTGGGGTCACTCAGTGCGTGGGGTTGCGCCCAGCAGCTCTTGGGGACCATGTGGTGGCCGGAGGTGGACCCGGGCATCCTGCTCGCGAAGCTGCACTCAGCCTTCACTCTCCCTCTCCGAGGGCCACCGTCTCCTCCGCTGCCTGAGGTCTCGGAGACCTCGGCCTGCAGAGCGCCTGGTGGCTCCTTCCCGTGACTGCGATTCTGAAGGAGGATGAGACTGTGCACCCGTGCTCTCTGGGGCCGCTGCTGGCCCAGAGCCAGAGAAGGGAAACTGAGGAACCTCGGGACATGCCGTGCTCATGGATGGCTCTGTGCCGGGCTGTGGCCACTCCCCGGCCACTGCCTTTCGGGGAAAGAAAAGGGTCACTGTGGCGGGCTGGGGCCTCGCAGCCGTGGGCAAGAGGCTGGCCGGGCCCTAAGATCTTGGCGCTCTGCAGACGCTGAGCGGCAAACTGATGTCCCTGCTGGGAGCCGCAGTCCCGTGGTGGCTGCGTGCCCACACCCCTCTGCCACCGCAACCCCAGGCCCCGGCACGCCCCGCAGAGGGTCCCAGCAGCTCTGGGCGGCGCTGCCAGATTCCCTGGAGAGGAATTCTTCCCGCAGTGCAGGCGCCCCTGGGCTTCCCGACTGCTGTGAGGAGGGACTTCTCTCCCGCCTACCGGATGGCTGGACTGGACACTGATCCTTGGATACTCGGAAATTCACTTCCCGCCATTTTCCTCTCTCCAGTCCGGCCGGCCTGGTGCCTGCTTTTCTGTTTGGAAGCTCAGGGATGCGGCCCTGCTCAGGGCTCACCCCAAATGCCACGTTCTCATGAACGCGAGTGGACCCAAAGGGGAGGGTCTCAGGGAGATGCGAAGGAGGGTCCCAGGCAGAGCAGGCAGTGACCCGGCGCTGCCTGGGAGAGGAGCTGGCCGTCTCGGCACATCGTGGGTCCAGCCCATGGTCCACAGTGCCAGGGTCTCTGTCTCCTGCCCTGGGAACGGGGCACAGCCGTGTCTGGCCTCTGAGACTGGCCGTTACGGGGGTTGTCGCTTCCTCCAGCCTCCCCGTCCCAGGGCCGACCCTGCCGCGGATCAGCGACCCTCCACGGGCCCCCACCCACCTCCCCAAGGCGCAGGCTCCGGCTTGCAGGCTGGACTTGGGGTCTCTGCTGGTGCCTGTTCTAGAGACTCGCGTGCTGGCCTGAGGCTCAGGGAACCTCGTCCGCAGTGGGAGGGGCCGGCTGCGGGGGGGGGGGGGGAAGCGGAGTCCGGCACTGACCATCTGGAGCCCCCCAGATGCCCCGGCCCTGCGGCACCCCCAGGTGCAGCCTGACTCACCCCCACCCTCGCACGGATGCCAACAGGCAAAGGCTCCTCCTCTTCCTCCTCCTCACAGCACCACCCTGAGTCGGCCAAAGCCACACCACCCAGCACTTTATCCCGTGCTCTGCCCCAACATCAGAGAGGGGAAACTGAGGCAGAGGAGGGCAGGTTTCCCTATCGGGCCGTGCCTCCAGCAAGGCCCAGTTCCGTTCCAGGAAACCTCAAACTCTACCCCAGAGCGCACCCCCACGTCCCACACAGTGCCAGGCTGAGGAGGCGGCAGGGGTGGGGAGCCTCCGGTGGGGGTATCCTGGGGCGATCCACCACCCCGAGATGAAGGGGCTGGCAACTGGCACCAACTAGCCACGCGCTGTGGGTTGGATAAGGGGGGCTGGGGTCAGCCAGGGTCAGCCCAGGGTCAGGCCTGACCGTCAGCCCCCTCAGATGGGAGCCGCTGGGGTCAGGCTGAGGGAAGGTGTGTGGGCATGGGGTCTGGCAGAGGGCCAGCACGCTAACTCACAGCATGAGTACACGCGGACTTCACAGCACACGCTACCCTCTGTACACGCTAACAGCAGAGCACACGCACACACGACCCTCACAGCACGAGCACACGCTAACCTCATAGCATACGCTAACCCTGTAGCACAAACACACACTAACCTCATGGTACATGCTCACCTCCCAGCACGTGCCAACCTCACAGCACAGACACACACATATCTCACAGCACCTGCTAATCTCACAGCACACACTAACCACAAGACATGTAATACGTTAAGAGCACGGTCATGAAACAGGCTCTGTCGTGACCCAACTAGAAGTAGCTGAAGAAGGACCCTGCTGGGGCTGGGAAAGACCAACCTGGCCTGAGGACTCGTCTGGGAGAGAGCGAGATGTCCCCAGGGAGAGCGACTCTTTAAGCTTAACGTATCTCTTACTGTGTTTATACGGAATGACTAGACATACCTAAGAAGTAAATTTAAGATGACAGTTTAAGTGGACACTGGCTAAGGAGGAGGCAATACACCCTGGATGGAATCCGGCCCTTGGGCAGATCTTCTTTTTTTTTTTTTTGTTATATTTATTTATTGAATCACTGGGGGGAGGGGGGGAAGTTACAAAGCTTTCAGGTTTAAGTCTTGGTCATACAATGATCAAACACCTTTCCGTTCGCCAGTACTGATTTTTCACCACCAAAAACCCCAATATACCCCCCTTCCACTCCTCTCAATGCCTGAGGCAGATCTTTTTTTTTCCTTTTTCTATCTTCCATGATATAATTTATTTATATTTTGCTTTTTGGGTCCCACCAAGTGGTGCTCAGGGGTTACTCCTGGCTCTGCACTCAGGGATCACTCCTGGTGGTGCTCAGGGGACCCTATGGGCTGCTGGGAATCGAACCTGGGTTGGCTGCGTGCAAGGCAAACGCCCTGCCTGCTGTGCTATCGTTCCAGCCCCAACATAATTTAATTCTTTATTTTACCTGTCTGAATAATTACAAAATGCCCCTAAATTGTATCATTTCCTTAGTGTGTACTTTGCTGTGTTTTTTTTCTTTTTCTGGTACTGTCCTCCCATTGTTCATTGATTTGCTCTTTCGGGGCCCAGTAATGTCTCCATCGTGAGACTTGTTGTTACTGTGTCTGGCATATCGAGTACGTCGCGGGGAGCTTGCCAGGCTCTGCCGTGCGGGCGAGAGACTCTCGGTAGCTTGCCGGGCTCTCCGAGAGGGGCGGAGGAGTCGAACCCGGCTCGGCCAGGCTGGCTGCGCGCAAGGCAAACGTCCTACCGCTGTGCTATTTCCCTGCTGGGTGAGATTCCGTCCTTGAGTGTCTCCTGGAAGCGCTTCCCCCAGGGGAGGGCTTCGCGACTGCTCCTGTTCACGACAGTTTGGCCACATCCGTGTCAGCGTGGCCCCAGCCCTGCACGATTTCTCTGTAACCGACACTGCGAGACTTGAATAACGGGCGGCTGATGACCAGCGAGCCCCGTGGCCCCTTCCCTCCTTCGTTCGCCCATTGCTACTGGCAGGCCGGGGTGGGGGGCGGCTCTTGGCCACCTAGGACAGGCGCTGGCACCCACGCTCGGAACCCAGGACGCACAAGCAGACTGCCCACGGGGCCTACTCACACAAACACGCCCCGGATTTACATATGCAAATCCAGACCGCCTATTTACATATGCAAATGTCCCCCACAGCTGAACACGCCCCAGGGATTTACACATGCAAATTCAGACTTCCTATTTACATATGCAAATGTCCTGCCAGCCCCGCCCGGTTCCGGCCGCAGGGACCCAGGACTGGGTGTCCCAAGCACAGGCCCGGTTGGACCGAGGCCAGGAGCCCGCCGCGCTTACCAGCTGCTGACCCTTCGGGCCCCACCCTGCGTACTGGAGCTTTGCATTGCTCACTTCCGGGGGGTCCAGGCTCTGGGGGTCCCTGGAAGAGAAGAGAAGCCAAGCGTGGGAATCAAGAAGCAGGCGTGCCCCTGCCCCCGGCCCCCCACCCCCAGGACGGCTGCCCGGTCCTCCCCACGCAGTGTCCACGGGGCAGCGGCCAGCTGAGCCCCTCAGCCCGGCTCGAGTTGGGGGAGGGGAAGCTGGCCCTCCCGGCATCCCTCACGCTCCCCCCAACTGAGCGAGGGGCGTGACACGACCCTGCCCCAGCCCAGCCCCTCTGCCAGGCTGGCGCTGTCCCAGTGCAGAGACCCACCCCCACTTCTCAGGTGCCCCCCGGTGGCCGTGTGCTCACGAGGGCACAGCTCCACGGGGCTCACCCCACCGAGAGACTGTGGCGTGTTTTGGGGGCCGGGAGCTTCCGGGAGGGGCTGGGGTGCCTGAAAGCGGGAGGTGAGGTCGGGAGGGAGGGACGGGGAAGGGTGAGCTGGTTCACGATGGAAACCCACGGAAAATTCTAGTGACTGCTCAGCACTGGGACCGGGCCCCGGGGGGACCCGCTTCTGAGCACTGGGAGGTGGGCTGTGCAGACGGTCCCCACGAGCCACTGACCCAGCCTGGGGCCCACAGGTGCAGCCGAGGCCTTGCCCCGGCACCTCAGACCACGCGGCCCTCTGCACGGCCGCACAGCCAGCCTGACGCTGACCCACTTCCTCCTGGCGTGGAACAGAGAACGAGCCACGGGGCGCAGAGTCACTCCGCAGCCGGGAACACGTGCACCCGCACGGCCTGGTAAACCGAGTCCCACGTGGCCTCGAACACACAGCGGTCAGCTTCATTCTCACGCCCGCCCGAGGCGGATCCCCCCAGTGGTCAGCGGGGCAGGCCCCCCACTGCCTGCCCGCTCACTCTGTGCCCTCAGCTCCACGTTGGGCCGTGCCCACCCCAGCACCCAGCACGTGACTGCACGGGGCTTCCACGGTGGGGCTAATACACTCTGGATCAGAACATTAGGACTATGAGATTCTGAGCACTGTAGTGTGTGTGTGTGTGTGTGTGTGAGAGAGAGAGAGAGAGAGAGAGACAGACAGACAGACAGACAGACAGAATCCATCGCCTTATCTTTTAGTGTTTCCCACTTTTCTGTCCTTATTTTTTATTGATTTCTCTAAGGAACTGGGGTAAACTTTGTGGGGCACCTCCCCCCCCCCCGGGTGCAGGTGAGGAAGAACGAGAAGGGCCTTGCTTTACCCCAGAATCCCGGTGCGCTCCACCCGGGTTTGGCTTCTTCGAGCAATCAACAGGGCAGGCCTAAACCAGGCTGAATTCGGAAGAGCAATCAGTGCAGCAAAGTTGATTCGTTCATCTCCTGAAAGTTGGCTAATGAGCTGAAGAGCTTCCCAACAAATCAGTGATTGGGGGGGAAATAAAAGCTAAAACAGCTTTTTTGGTCCCTAAGCTAGAGACGTCAACAGCATTTCCAAGGCGAAGGGACGTGTCTGAGTCCTCCCGCTGCTCGGGCAGGGGGGCGTCCACCATCAGAACAGGCGCTGGGTGGTGACTGTGAGTGAGTCAGTGGCCGACGGACATGTCTGTCCACCCTCAGGGCAGGGACTCAGGGACTCTACAGGCTGGACCCTTCTGGACATGCTCTGCTGACCATGGCTCTGCCCGGGCCGTGGGGACACTTGGCTGGGTGGGGCGGCGTGCCAGTGGGACTGTCCCTCCCAGGTGCCCTTTTCTTTATTATTTTTGGGTCACACCTGGCAGTGCTTGGGGCTGACTCCCGGCTCTGTGCTCGGGGCTGACCCCCAGCTCTGTGCTCAGGGCTGACCCCCAGCTCTGGGCTCGGGGCTCACTCCGGGCAGGTTCAACCTCCACGTGTGCTCTGGCCCCGTCTCCGCAGGCGTGCTGTGCTCCCCACCACAGGACACCCGTGAGCTCCGTCTCCTACAGCTGTGCTGCCCGTGGCCTCCTGTTCGCAGGGCTCACGCCCAGGCCGGGGTGAAAGGCTGTGGCCCTGGGGACTCTGTTTGCTCGTGGCTGTTGCTGGGTGTCGGGGTCATGCCCGTGAGGAGCCGGTGTCCCTGCTGCAGGTGTGAGTGGGGGTGTGCGAGTGTGTGGTTGTGGGGGGTGGATGCGTGTGTGTCCGCGAGGGTGTGTGTGCAGGTGCCTACCATGTGGGCCTGAGTGTGCTTGTGGGAATGTGTCTGCGTGTGAGCATGCGTGCACCGGGCGTGTTTGTATGTAAACGTGAGTGTATGTACACACGTACATGTGACTGTGTGCACGTGTGTGAGCACCCGTGTGCTGTGTGTGCCTGTGCAGAGGGTGTGCTGGCTGTGGCGGGCACACGGTGTGTGGCCAGTGCGGCCGGGAGTCGTGCGTCTGTCTGCTGCCCTGGGGCGCCCCTCGTTCCCGGTCCAGCCAGAGCAGGACACTCGGGGACCTTCTGGGGTGACGACCGCTAGCCCCAGTCGCCATGCTCATGTTCACCCTGCAGGGCGCCTGCCTCGGAGGCCTCTGCTAGGGACAGTCTCAGCCGACCGGAGCCCCTCGTGGCAACGCCCCCAACCCACCAGCAGGAGCCTCCGGCCCGGCCCACTAGGTGGCGCCCAAGTCAGGCTGGAGCTTGTGGGGCAGAATGCAGGGAGGATGGGAGCACCTGGGGTCAGGGCAGGGAGGAGGGAGCACCTGGGGTCAGGACAGGGAGGACAGGAAGTACCCGGGGGGGTCAGAGCAGGGAGGACGGGGAGCACCTGGGGGGGGTCAGGGGAGGGAGGACGGAGAGCACCCGGGGGGTCAGGGCAGGGAGGGCGGGAGCACCCAGGGTCGGGGCAGGGAGGACGGGGAGCACCCGGGGGGGGAGTCAGGACAGGGAGGACGAGGAGCACCTGGGGTCAGGGGAGGGAGGATGGGGAGCACCTGGGGGTCAGGGCAGAGAGGGCAGGGAGCACCAGGGGTCAGGGGAGGGAGGACGGGAGCACCTAGAGTCAGGGCAGGGAGGATGGGAGCATCCAGGGTCAGGGCAGGGAGGACGGAGAGCACCAGGTGTCAGGGGAGGGAGGGTGGGAGCACCCGGGGTCAGGGCAGGGAGGATGCGGAGCACCAGGAGTCAGGGCAGGGAGGGTGAGAAGCGCCTGAGGTCAGGGTAGGGTGGGGTGGGGGGCGCCCGGGGTCAGGACAGGGCAGGGTGCGCCCAGGGAGGGCAGAGGGAGCCCCAGCAGGGCAAGGCGGGCAGCGAGGGCCCAGCTGGTGCGGGTGGTTCCCCTCCCCTGCTGACTGGCTACGTCTTGGCTGTACCTGCCCGTGGCTTGTGGGCAATCGGGGTGCTGGTGTCGGGCCCCGGGTCCACCCCTGGCTCCACACAGCGGGGAGCTGGCCCTCGGCTCCAGCTCCCGTTCCCGGCCCCCAGGGACCTTTGGGGGCAGCTGGGAGGTGTCTACCACGCCAGCCAGGCCTCCCGCTGAGTCTGCTGACGTGTCCCAGAACCTGGGCAGGACCCTTAAGAGCTGGCCCCTCACTGCTCAGAGCATGGCAGAGGCTTCTGGGAATTTACTCCCAGACGGGCTGGGCTCCGCAGCCAGTGCTCTCTGGTCAAGCTGCTCAGAGGCGGGGCTCCAGAGGGAGGAAGGCCGAGCAGGAAGGGGTGGGCTGGAGTCCTGCAGGGCCGGGAGCTGTCCGGGTGCTGAAACAACCACCCCCAGGAACCGCCTCCTGCCACCGAGACGCCGCCATGCCACTGGAAGAACGCGTGCTTGTGCATTCTTGCTTCACGTCACTCGTTCCCCTGGGGTGCTCAGACCCCCACTCATGCCGCTCCCGGCAGCTGGGAGGGTCACTCGCGCTGCAGAGTCAGCATGTTCTGGGCCCAGGCCCGAGGCAGGGCCTGTGGACTGGCCCACAGAATGGAAAGTCCAGGAAGGGCATGAGTGAAGACGGGCGCCGACACGGAACATCCTCGGGCGCCAGCTCCTCCACGCCTTGGCACGAACAGGCTCAGCTCATGCCTGGCGTGGCTGCTGAGGCTCACGGCGACAACGTGGCCTCTGGGCCACTTGCCGTCTCTCCATTCCCAGGCGGCAGTGACCAGAGCCTCACCGATGGGCGGGTCCTGCCTGGCCGAATGCATGACCCCCTCCACTGCAACCCCCCCCCCCCCCCAGCTTCTGCTCCTCCTTCCTTCTGGTCTATTCTACACACAAGCAGGGAAAGAAACGGAACCCACCATGCCCAGCACAGCCCTCCGCGTGCTGAGCCTGTTCCTAGGGTGAAGGTCCCCAAACCGGGGCAATGTCTGTGGCACGAGGCCGGGCATCTCCTAAAGCCCAGCATGATCACTGTCCAGCCTAAGGTCCAGGAGAACGTCCCCACTCCAGCTGTGGGCGCGGCACGGGCCACGCCAAGATGCGAACCCGCGGCCAAGTCTGTCCAAGGACTCTTGGGCTTAGGTATCGTCCCTCTGTCTCCTCCCAGGAAGAAAGCTTGAGAAACTCCAAGGCGCAGGTCAAGCAAATGTCTTTTTTTGTGATTCCCGATGCCCAGAACTCTGTCCTCTATGCTGCCCGGTGTTTTAACAGACTCAGCCGAGGGTTGAGAGACTGCACAGGGGCAAGACGCTGGATTTGCACCCCAGCTGACCCCGTTTTGATCTGTGACACTGCTTTCAGTCCCTGGAGCACTGCCAGGAGTGATCCCTGAGCACGGCTGAGTACCTCCACCCCCAAACAAACTCAACTGGGACATGAAGTGACAGGTTTTGGAAGTCTTAACATTTTCCCCGAATCCAGAGTTTGAACTCAGCCATCCTTAAGTTCATCCTTAAGTTCAAAGCCATTATTGACTTTCTCCACTGAATTTCTAGAAACACGCGCCGGCTTCCCATCTGTTCCCACTCGAGAAACAAAGAGAGCCTGAATTGAGCTGCAGTAGGTCAGCTGAGGAGTGATCGCTCACTGAGTGCTCAGTGAGGCTCTTTTAAGAGGAACTTTGAACCTATGCGGACGCTGTAGTCACCTCGGGGTCCTGGCGTGAGCTCTGAGCTTGATTAAAGGGAACTTTTTTATCATTGGAGGATTTTATGATTCCTCTCCTTGTAACTGGCAGGATTGGAGCTGGCTAGAAAGCAAAGTCTGACAATATTTAATTGTGAGACTACAATACATTGGGGCACAAGCTGGAATATTAGGAAATAACATTGCCACGCGTGAACCAAATTCTCTGCCACGTTCCGTGTGGTTCTGTGCCCAGCCTTGAGGCGCTCACTGTTCAGAACGTCTCATTTTTCTCACTGTTCTGGTTTTTTTTTTTTGTTGTTGTTTTAGTTCCGTTCCCAGGGTGCTCAGGGCTGGCTCCTGGCTCTGCACTCAGGGGTCACGTAGGATGAGCTCGAGGAATCGTACGGGGTGCCAGGAGTCGAACTCGGGTCAGCCATGCGCAAGGCCAGCACCCTCCCCGCGGGCAGTCAGTCTGGCCTCCTGGCTTTCTTGCTTTTTAAATCGAGGCCACACTGGGCGGAACTTGGGGCCACCCAGGCTATCCCCAGCGCTGCTGGGCCCGTGTGGGCTGAGCATCCTGCTGGGGCCTCATGTGACTCTGTTGTATTCCTGCTCCACCGAGCACCTTTCCAAGAGTCTGTAGACGCGTGACCGTCACCTCGAGGCCGCGGGGCAGGTGGGCAGCGGGCCCGAGTCTCAGGCTTCAGGGCCTAACTAACTCTGCATCGCTGCTGGCCCCGGGCTGGGTGCTGTGTGTGACGTCACCCTCAGAGACCCACTGCCCAGGTAAGGGGGTGGCCGTGACGCGCCGTGAAGCCGGGGGCATTTCCAGGCTGGACGTCACATCTCCGCTGTAATCCCCACAGCAGGGAACACGCTGCAGAGGCCAGGGGATGAAGCCAGAGGAAGTCTATTTCTGTACAGATTTTCTTGGTGCCTATGAAACTGTGTCAAGTGAGCGAGGCTGGGTCACCCACAGCCCCAGAAACTGGCCTGGAGTGGAACAGAAAGACCTCCAGCTTCACGGCCCGCCAGGTGCCAATACCACACGACTCAGCCCCATCTTTCTCAAAACCAGTTTCTGTGTGGAAGGAATTTATCTAGTCCAGGAAACTTCCAGGATGACTCTGACAGAGAAGAAAAATCCTAATGACAGACAAATCACTGCGTCACTGACGTCCCACCGTTCATCGATTTACTCGAGCGGGCACCAGTAACGTCTCCATTCGCCCCAGCCCTGAGATTTTAGCAGCCTGTCCTTACTCGTCTTTCCCAATGCTGCCATATTGGAGCCTCTTTCAGGGTCAGGGGAATGAGACCCGTTATTGTTACTGTTTTTGGCATATCGAATACGTGCTGTGCAGGCGAGATACTCTCGGTAGCTTGCTGGGCTCTCCGAGAGGGGTGGAGGAACTGAACCCGGGTCAGCCCAGTGAGCCGCGTGCAAGGCAAACGCTCTACCCGCCATGCTATCACTCCAACCCACCACCCAAAAACAAAACAACAAAATGCTTCTCTTGCAGGATTGTTTTGCGAGAGTAAAGAGGTATGTGAACCAATTTTAAAAATTGTGGAGGGGCCAGAGCGATAGTACAGCGGGGAGGGCGTTTGCCTTGCACGCAGCCAACATGGCCGATCCAGGTTCGATTCCCAGCATCCCATAGGGTCCCCCAAGCACCGCCAGGAGTAATTCCTGAGTGCATGAACCAGGAGTAACTCCTGTGCATCGCTGGGTGTGACTCAAAAAGCAAAAAAAAAAAACCAAACAAACAAACAAAAAAAAGAAAACCAAAAAAAAAAACATAGTGTTGTGACACTAACCCAGCAATGGCCACCTTCACTACTGTCATTGCTCTGGGGTGATGGGCTGTCCAGGGGGTGCTCAGGGCTATTGGGTGTCCACCGGCAGGGGATGGGACCTTGTGATCCTCTGTGTTACAGAGGCAAAGCCAGCCCTGCCCCGAGCAGGGCGCGAGCTGATGTCTGAGCCAGCTCGGCCGGCAGCCAGGAGACCCTCACCCAGCGCCAAGGGCAGCTCAGCCCGCCACGGGCAGGTGGGCAGCAAACCCTCCGCACCCTGCTCCGGCTCACCACAGTTTCCCCAAACTCTTTTCCAGGTTCCTGGAACGCTCCACGTTCTGTCTGATGCGTCGAGGACCAACAGTGTGTGTTAAAGCACGGAATCCTCTTAGAGGTCAGAGTCTTAAAAATGTGAATGAAAGGAAACATTCCACCGCCGACCACGAGTCACACAGTTCCCAGGACTGGGGAAACCGAGTGCCATAACTACACTCTCGTGTGACCTTTGAGGATGCACGTCTGCTTGGAGAATCCCAGAATCATCCCCGAGTGGGAAGCATTCGTGTTTCTGTTTGAGACACGCTTGGGTGGGTGGGTGGGGGGGTTGCCGTGGGTGCCGCGTCCTCATGCCATGGGTCACCCCCGGTCCCTTGGGATCGATTTTCCTAAGAGTCCGAGAGAAGCAGCGATTGGTCGCGGTTGTTCCACGCGTGGTACATCTGTGTGAATCCAGATGAAATTATCTCCCATCTGTCTCCAGCCCATGCCAGCCAGGGTGATGCCCCCACCCCCGGGGGACAGTCCACAGCACCTGCTGCTGGTTTCCATTTCCCAGGGAAAATGCAGCATGTCCCGGCAGCTGGCCACGCCGCAGGCCCCACCTCTCCCCACGGGTGGGGGACGAGGGGGCAGCGGGGGTGGAGGAGACACAGGAGGAGGCAGAGTAAGAACGGAAGCAGGGAGAGAGTCTGCCAGGGCTGTCTGCGTCCCCCTCGCCTCCGATGGCGTGGCCAGGCCCCCTGAGGCGGGACAGTTCCCGTGTGGGGTCAGGGTGAGCAGCAGCCAGACGAGCCCCTCCAGACAGATGCGGGGGGGTCCCCCTCGTGCGAGGGTCCGGGCCCGGCAGGGGCAGCGGAGAGCCCGGGAGACAGGCTCTGTAGTCCCGTGGCCCTGAGGGTGGGCCCAGGGTCCTGGTACTGTCCAGCCTGTCTCTCTAACACCCCCGTGATGGTCACTAGCCCTACTGTGCGCCTGCTCGGCCGAGCTCTGATGGAGGATGGAAGAACCTTCTTACCCGTGAGGGATCTTGCTCAGGACGTAGTAGCCGGTGTAGGAGTGCCGGTAGATCTGAAAGACACGAAACGGGGAGGTTGAGGTGTGGTAGCGGCCGTACCCCTGCCCTTTCCGCCCCGGGCACCCCAACACGGACGCAGAGCCCCCCACCAGGACAGCCTGGCCTGCGAGTGCCCAGGGTGTGTGGCTTTCCCGCAGGGGTCCCTGGGAACAGCCACACCAGTGCCGGGACACTTCCCTGGGCCAGCTACATCTGTCGACCCCAGCGATGACATGACCCCGTGGTGGCACCTTCCAGACTCGTCAGCCCTGAGCCTCAGTTGACCCGGGGCCGCGCTGCCGTCCCCACACATGAGGGAGGGACCCCGGCAGGTGGCAGTGACGGCCCTGCCTGTGTGCAGTGGACGCGTCACTCTGCAGGCCCTCGAGGCGTATCACCACCCTGGGGGACAGCACTGCAGCAGGGGCTGAGTGGGCCAGGGGGAGAGGGGCGGCCTCTGCCCTATCACGTCCCAGCAGGGCCGGGGGACACGGCAGCCCCAGCCCGGCCAGCCACTAGAGCCCGGAGGAGGCCAGTGACTGTGGGAGGGCCCTGGGGAGCAGGGGAGGGTCTGGCGCGTGTCCCTGCTTCTCCGTGGGGAAAGGGGTGTGGGGACCCGCACCCGAGTCCACACTGCAGGGAAGGCCTTGGGGCCACCGACCTGCCCTCAGGAGCCGGAGCGTCAGGAGGCCGCCCCCTACAAGCCATGGCGTGTCCTCAACTCTCTCCAGGTGCCCCCGACCTGCGGACTGACCCCTCCGAACTCTGGCAGAGGAGAGGGTGGACCACGGGTGGGCAAGGCGATGTCTGTGTCTGCAGGACGTGCTGGGTCAGGGGCGACGTCACACAGAGCCACAAGCACAGCCGCCAGGGGGAGACTGGCCGGTTGGGGCGGGGGTGGGGATGCCGCACCTCCCGCTCTGGAGGGCCCCCACTTTTCGAGTGGACACCACAAATGCTGCCAGGGGGTGGACCAGCTCCTCCTGCAGGCTGGGCACCCGTGAGAGTGGATAGTCTGGGCCGCACGGTGGAGCTGGGGGCCAGGCCCCCTCTGCCTCTACCCACAGGAAGACCTTCTGTCTGTCTGTCTGTCTGTCTGAGACAGTCTCCTCGGAGGGTTCCAAACACGCTTTTTAAGGTGAGTGCCTGGGGCCAAGGCTCCAGCTGAGCGAATTCGCCTCAACCAGAGAAGCTCTGCGGGCTTCTAATTTGATAAATTGATGGAAAAGCCCCCGGTGTGTATCTTCAGGGCTCTGAAAGCCCCTCGCTGTGTTACTCTTTGCTGCTGTTTTCCTGAAGGTCTTTGTGTTGACCGTCCACTCCGTTTCTTTGGCTACACGGGTGGAGCTCAGGCCTCAGACTCCTGGCCCAGTGCTCAGGAGTGACTCTGGTGGGGCTCCGGGGATGTGTGTGGTGACGGGTGAGAACATGCAAGGCCGGCACCCCCAGCCCGGGCGCCGTGCCTCCATCCCACTCGTGTTTCTGCGTGGGCTCAGGCGCACACATGATTCTGCCCATGGCCGCCGCTGAACCCAGCTGAGAGCCGTGTCTGGGCTGCTTGCCGCCCTGAGCTGCAAGTCCGGGCGTGGTGATGGGTAGGCCCAGGGCGGGGGTGGGCTGGCTGCAGGCTTTGCGGGCTCCTTCGTTCCACAGTCCCACGGGGCGCCTGGTGGGCAGCTGGGCCTCGGGGCGGGGCGGCAGCGTGGTTCTGGCAACGCTCGGCTCCAGCCCCGGCCCGAGCTGCTCTCCTGCACATGTCCCGACCAGGCGCCCCAAAATCCCCGACACCTGCCTGGGCAGTCTCTGGGCAGCGGGGAACCATGCATCGGCCCCCAGCGTGGCCGGGTCAGTGAGAGGAAAGGGTGGGACCACTCAGGACCCGGGAGAAGGGCACTGACCTCCTCTCTGGACTGCGTCCCCCACCCCAAGCCAGGCCTGGCTCTCACCACCCAGCCTGCAGCCGGCAGAATAACGAAACGTCTCCCACGGAACTTGGCTGGGGGCTCATTAGGGCAAGAAATTCAGGTTGGGATACGCTCAAAGGGCCAGGGGCAGCCTGGCACCCCCCGGTTCCATCATCACACTCAGGGGCCCCCACGGGCTGTTCTTCCCATCACACGGCCGAGGCCCTGCATGTCTGCTGGCCCCCCGCAGGGACACACGGCCTTTCCAAGGGCCTACAGACCCCGCAGATTCACCCAGGGCCTCCCACAGGGGTGCCTTGACCCCCTGAGCCTGCAGCCGCCCCCCCAGAGTCTGTGGGGGCAGCAGACACTCTGAGGGCAGAGGAGGGAGCCGAGTCAGGCAGGACCCACGAAGACACCATAGAGAAGGGAACAACAGACTCCAGCGCCCCGTAAACAGAGGCAAACACACCCACAAAGATGGGCAAACCACCATGCTCAGGTCACCGAAAACAGGACAGCACGGCCAAGGGGGGTCCAGGGACCAAGGGTGACTCAGCACACACCCCCTCAGGAAAGGGGACAAACCTCACAGAATCAGGTGAACAGATGCAGGCGAACTCTGACCAGACTGGACCCTCGTTTATGAGTAAAACTGCACCAATTGGGGTTGGGTGGGACTCACCCCACACAGGAAAGGCCACATAAAGCAAACCCACAGCTCACAGCATCCTCGAGGGTGAGAGGCGGGAAGGTCTCCCCCTGGGAAGAGGCCAGACGAGACGTTCGCTTTCCCCATTGTTCCTCAACACGTACTGGAAGCCCTGCCCACAGTCACCAGGTAACGAGAAGAGATTAAAAGGACCCAAGTCAGAAAGAAGTTACACTACCGCTATTAGCAGGTCACCTATTATACGGGGAAAATCTTATTAAGGATTTTATAATTTATAATTTTGTGGTTTATTTCCACTAAGGAAACCTATAATATAGCAAGGTGGCAGGCTGCAAAATAAAATACACAAAAATCTCTAGATACTGTTGGAATAGAGCTTGAAACATTCTGGGCTTCACACTAGTCTGCCCTCTCTCCTCCGCCCTGCCGCCAGGAGCTTAGTTTTATGGGGCTACTCCCATCACAGTGCTCCCGAGGCACTCCCATTCTACTGTGCTTGTCTGTAACCTCTCCTCTGGGCTCTTCTTCCCCTATCGGTCAATCACCCACATCCCCAAATCAGATCCTGTGACCTGTGGGGTCAGATCCTTCTAAGGACTCTGGATTTTGTATTTGTAAGTGAAATACTGCTTTTCTCCTTCCCTTATGTCCTCTGCGTGGTTTACTTCAGGGCAAAGTTCTTTTTGTATAGACACAGGAAGACAGTTAATGCTACGCTCTTGTAACTTGGGAGTTAACTGACTGAATAATACTGACTCTTGGGCCTGGAGCGATAGAGCAGGTAGGGCGTTCACCTTGTACGCAGCTAACCCAAGTTCAATTCCCAGCATCCCATTTGGTCCCCTGAGCACCTCCAGGAGTAATTCCTGAGTAGTGCAGAGCCAGGAGTAACCCCTGTGCAACGCCGGGTGTGACCCCAAAAGCAAAAAAAAAAATTACTGACTCCTGGGTATCCATTTTTTGACTTAAACCTCAGTTGCCCTTAGTTTCTAGTACCCCAAAAGCAGGGTCCCGACAAGGGACTGAATGGACCCAGGGCAAGCTGTGAGCTACCCTGGCATCGAAATGGGGCGGGCCAAAGTGCCACGATTCTTAACTCTAAGAGCACAGATGTGGACGAATTCTGTCATGACCCAAAGAGAAGTAACTGGACAAGGGCCTTCTAGGATTAGGAAGGACTCATCTGGCCTGAGCACTGCAGTCTGGGGTCTATAGCGAGATGCCCCCAGGAGACCACCCTAAAAGCTGGATGTATCTCTTACAGTGTCCATACAGAATGACTAATATTATTAAGAAGCAGAACGAAGATGAATGCTTAAATGGTTGTTGGAGTGAGGAAAGGAGAAAGGCACCCCTGGGTGGCATTTCGCCCTTAGGCAGGTCACCCTGCTGGATGAGAATCTTTTCTAAAAGAAGCTTCCCTTGAGGAAAGGACTTCACATTTGTTGGATTTTATGACCACAACTATGTGGAACTGCTACCCCAACCCCTCATGAGTTGGGGCCGTAACCAAGGCTGTGAGATGGGTGACATGCAGGAGTGGGCGAGACTGGGAGGAAGCAGAGGGAGACGAGACGGGAATGAACCACACCGGGTCGCCGGCCAGCCTGGCCCTCATTTTCTCCTTCGACTGCCCACCGACTGCCCACCGCCATCAGCCGTCTGGGGTGAGGGAAGCGGCCCAAGGACACAGACACAGATGGTGAGAGAGCCCCGCGGGCTCCTGATCATTTATTCTTTGAACCCTGCACTGCACTGTGGCACTGTCCTCACATCGATTTGCTCGAGCGGGCACCGGTAACGTCTCACAACAAATTTGTGAGACTTGTTGTTACTGTGTTTGGCATATCGAATACGTCACGGGGAGCTTGCCAGGCTCTGCCATGTGGGCGAGATACTCTTGGTAGCTTCGGGCTCTCCGACAGGGGCGGAGGAATCGAACCCGGGTCAACGGCAAATGCCCTACCCGCTGTGCTACAATGATCTAGTAAAGAAAGAAAGGGAAAAAAAACCACTCATTCTAACTGCACACATACAGGTGTACACATGCACCACACACTCTCTCTCTCACACACACACACGTATCTAGGAAATGAGTAAACAGAGGAAGTTAGAGATTTATATATATCGAAGGAAACAGAAGAAGACAAGGGGAAATGGAAAAATCCTCCATGCTCATGAATTGTAAGCTTGAACACTGTGACAAGTGGTGACCTCACCCAGACTCTCACCCAGATGCAGTGTACTCCCCACCTGACCCCAGTGACATTCTTCAAGAACAGAAACAAACACGGCTATGTGGCACCACAACCCCTCCCCGCAGACAGCCAAAACAAATCCCGAGGAGAAAGAATGTGGGTGGGCGGCCCCGCGGGCCCACTTTCAACTGTTACAAATGCAGCAGTCTAAACAGCATACATCGGAATAAACACAGGTAGACACGCAGACCGACTCCAGAGAACCGAGCCCAGACACAAATCCTCAGGGGCCACGGACATTAATTTGTAACAACGGGGCCAAAGCAGGGAACAAGAACAGGAGGCCTCGTGCCAGAGGGTGCGGGGACACGGCCTGTCACAGGCGGGAGCGGCCACACGCTGCAGAATCAGACTCAAAGTGGACCAGAGAGGGAGACGCTAGACGCAGATGGGAACAGCAGAGCCCGCACACCAGGGCCTCAGGAAGCTGCCACCGGCCCTGCGGCAGGGGAGGTGCCCCCCGGGGCCCAGCACAGCTGCCTCTCTGTGGGCATGTGACCTGCCTTTCCTCTCCCGGCAGCTCAGTGTCCTGGTCCCCACGGCTTCCAACCCCTGTTCTCCTGAGACCCCACGGTTTTCAGCCTCATTTGCGCGGCCACACACCGGACATCACTGAGACGGGTGAGGGGGGCAGGGGGAGGTCAGGGAGCTGTAAGGGCTGGGCTGGGCGGCCGGTGTCGACTCTCTGCCGAGTGTACGGGGGGAATCTGCTCGAGCATGGGACAGATGGGACCCTAGCGTGGCCCAACCTGGTGTGGCCCACGGCCAGCCGCAGCCCCTGTGCTGAGGATGCCACGTCGATCCAGTCGGGAAGCCGGACAGGCCGATGGCCCGGTTCCCTCCTCACGGGCCTCATGATCTCACAGCCCCGAGGGAGCCCCGGGATAGGACAGCAAGGCTTCCTCTGAGCACTGTCCTTATCACTCAGCACACACCGTCACGTGGTGCCAGCACCCCACAGAGCAGGCAGGGCTGCTGTGCCAGTGTCCTCAGCACCGTCATCACCATCACCACCCACCCCCACCATCACCATCCCCCCACCACCACCATTACCACCATCACCACCATCACCATCATCACTGTCACCACCACCACTGCCATCACCGTCACCTATCACCATCATTATCGCCACTATCTTCACCGCCATCATCACCATCACTGTCACCACATTCATCGCCATCAGCAGCGCCGTCACCCGCACCCACCCAGCACAGTGCTGCCCCTGGCGGCCTCACTCCTGCCAAGCTGCCTGGCAGAGAAGGCATCTCCCTATCCAAGGGGCTGTGGGGCCAGACGCGGCCCAGGGGCCCCTCGGCAGGCGAGGGACGGGACGGCACTGTGGGCTCCCCCGCTCCCACACAAAGCATGGGTTCACCATCCGGAGGAATCACCCTCACTCACCGCCTGTGACTCTGGGGAGATGGACCCCAGGAACTGTCAGTGCTGGAGCAAGACTCGGTTTCTCCGGGCCCGGGAGAATCCTGGCGACCCACCCCCGGGGCGTCCGCACTGCGGCTTCTCTCCTCGATAGAGACTATGAAGGGGGGTGACGAGAAGGCCGACCCGGGGACTCGCCATGCAGGGGCCTGTCAGGCCGTCACAGGGCGCGCTGGGGTCCACCTCTCAGCCCGAGAGCTGTGAGTGGCTGGGGGAGGCCCCCAAGGTGCTGAGCTCCAGCTGACAGACGTATCCTGTCTGGGTTTGTTTGCTTCCCTGGTTTCTGGGGCACGCATGAGGTGCTCAGATCTTACTCCTGGCTCTGTGCTCGCACCTAGCAGGCTTGGGACAACAGGCAGTGCTGGGGACCCAGCTGGGAGCTGGCCATGCACAAGGCACACACCCAGCTTGCCAGCAGACGCTTCCGGCCCTGAGGTGGGAGATGGGGTGTCTGCGACGGCCACACCCAGGGGCCCCACGCCCACGGCCAGTCCCTCCAAATGAAGCAGAAAGAGCAAGAGAGGGTAGCCCTGGGGCTGGAGCGATAGCACAACGGGTAGGGCGTTTGCCTTGCACGTGACTGACCTGGGTTCGATCCCTGGCATCCCATATGGTCCCCCGAGCACCGCCAGGAGTGATTCCTGAGTGCATGAGTCAGGAGTCAGCCCTGAGCATCTCCAGGTGTGACCCAAAAAGGAAAAAAAATAGAGAGGATGGCCCAGGCCAGGGCAGCAGGGACACTCGCTGGGGCCCCCCACGGCTCGGCTGTCCGAGGGCAGTGCTGTGCTGCTGGGATGGGGGCGCCTGCTGCAAGCCAGGTCCCCAGAGCCGTGAGACCCCAACGCTGAGGGACGAGCTCGCCTGAGCTCACACCTCCCTAGAGGGCCCGTGAGACCCCAACTCTGATGGTCAAGCTCGCCTGAGCCCTGTGTGATGATCCTCGAGTCACCACTGAGTTTTGGGGTACCGGGTCAACCCTGTGAGCGGCAGGACCATTGGGCTGACTCCAGCACTAACCAACCAGGGTCTGCCCTAGCCAGATTTCAGCCAGATTTTATTCAGAACGAGATTCCACCAAGCCCGAAGGCCAACCCCAGCAAATGCCCTCACACACAGTCCTTGCCCACAGCACTCTGGGAGATTTTTTTTGCTTCTTTTTTGGGTCATACCCAGTGATGCTCAGGGGGTTCCTCCTGGCTCTGCACTCAGGAACTACTCCTGGTGGTGCATCGGGGGACCACGTGGGATGTCGCGGATCGAACCCGGATCGGCCACGTGCAAGGCAGACATCCTACCCACTGTGCTATCACTCCAGCCCCGCTCCGTGAGATTTTTATCTCACTTTACTTGACGTTGGCTTTTGGGCCATGCCGGGCGGTGCTCAGGGCTAACAGCTGTGCCCAGTGCTCAGAGGTCACTAAGCTCTTTCAGAAGAAAAATGGTTTTCCAAGGAAGATTATTTTCTAATCTGTTTACTCCTTGAAAGGCACACAATACCTCAGTATTTTAAAGTAATCTAAGATAATGCACGTAAAATTTGATTTTATCCTCCCCCAAGAGTTGTCTCTAGAACTCTGCACACGTGTCAGAGACGTCGGAACAAAGGGACGGGCAGCTTGAGCCTCAAAAGTTGCCGGAAAGCAACATGCTCGACTGGTGTCGTCCAGGTGGTACCAAGCGAGTTTTGAAGTGAAAAATAAGGAGTGACTGTCCCTCGTGTGGTTCTGGGAAGCCCTTCAGAAGCTGTGCAAGATGTGCCAGGAGCACTGTAGCACTGTCCTCCCGTCGCTCATAGATTTGCTCGAGCGGGCCCAGTGACATTGAGACTTGTTACTGTGTCTGGCATCTCGAATACGTCACGGGGAGCTTGCCAGGCTTTGCTGTGCGGGCGAGATACTCTCGGTGGCTTGCCGGGCTCTCCGAGAGGGGCGGAGGAATCGAACCCGGGTCGGCCGGCTGGCGGCCGGTGTTCTATCGCTCCAGCCCGACGTGCTAGTAAGCTCTCTCAATAAGACATGGATCGCCCAGACAGGAGATGCTGGTTCCTCGGAGGAGATGGTCCTCAGAGAAACGAGCTGATGGCAGTGGCGCATCCTGCCAACTCCACGGCTGGCACCACGTAAGTGAACAGGGCACCACAGTCTTCTCCTTGGGCAGGATTAAGGCGATCAACGTGCTTGGACTGGAAAAACGGACCTGGGGCACCTCCAGGCCAAACTTAGTTACTCTGTACACTTTAAAAACGGCTGCATCTCAGGGCTGGAGTGATAGCACAGTGGGTAGGGCGTTTGCCTTGCATGTGGCTGACCCAGGTTTGATCCCCAGCATCCCCTAGGGTCCCCCGAGCACCGCCAGGAGTGATTCCTGAGGGCAGAGCCAGGAGGAACCCCTGGGCATCACCGGATGTGACCCAAAAACCAAAAAATAAATGATAAAAAAAAAAGGCTGCAACTGAAACCAGAAGTCAAACTGGGCACTGAGATGCGTCACACAAGCTAAGCTGTTCAGGATATTTTTGTTTGTTTTGGGGACACACCTGCTCAGGGTTGACTCCTGGCTCTGCACTCAGGAATCACTCCCAGTGGGGCTTGGGGGACCCTAAGGGATGCCGGGGATCGAACCTGGGGCGGCTGTGTGCAGGGAATCCCCTCCCTGCTATGCTATGGCTTTGGGAGTTTACGGATTTTAACCAAGTACAAGATCCAGTAGCACGAGGAGTGTTTAGTTAGTAGAAAAAGTAGCTGATTCGCTCATGTGCACAGTTCCAGAGAAAACCAGAGTCACGGAGATGCCCCCAGGCCGGCCCGAGGCCTCAGGAGCTGTAAGAGGTTCACCTGACTCAGATCTAGATCTGCTGCTCCCCGCTGACACACTACAGCAAACACGGCCTCACCGCCGGGCGCCCCCAGGAAAGCAGGTCCTGTGTCAGATGGGGTGAGGACTCAGCCGGGCCGGGGGAGGGTCTCGGAGGGGCCGCGAGCCGCTGGGGTCCGGGTGTTATTTGCCGGAGATTAAAGGCCTGCAAAGGCCCATCTCTAAGGTTGCTAATCCCTTCTAAGCTGAACAGCTGCTCCACTTAGAAAATAAATTTCACCTCCGAGCTCATTTAAAATTAAAGAGCCAAATGAAAATTTTAAATATAAGCATATTAAAGGGGGAAAAAAGAGAGACCCAATTTTAGGCTGCCTTTACAGCCCCGAGTGAGAGTTTAGAGGGAATTCTGGTGAAATTTTATGGGAGATGTATCGGAGAAGGGCTAAATATAGCCACTTCTGTAATGAAGACGATCGTTCAATCCCATTCACTCCCGCAACACGCAGGGGGAAACGGTGAGCAGGATCAGTTTGGGGCAACGCCGCCGTGTTGCTCTGGGCTCCAGAATAATCCATGGCGTGGTGAAGACAGAGGCAGGAAGCAACGGCCCGAACACCCTCACTGACGGGGGCCGACACGCAGCCGACTGGGCTCCGCCGTCCTCCCGCAGGGGCACGTCGAGAGTGACCCCCAAGCACAGAGTGTGAGACCCCCGAGTCGCCGAGCCCACAGGGCCTGGCCCCAAGCCCAAGAAAGAACCCGCCCGTGAGCACCCAGGACACGCCCTCCCGACCTGACCCGCGCGGCCTGCCCACTCACCGGCTCCTCGCTGTAGGAGAAGAGCGCGTACTCGCGGTCCGGGGAGATGGCGTAGCGGAGGGCTCGCAGCGACTCCTGCAAGGACAAGCCGAGCGTGGGCACGGGCAGCGCCCCCACCTCCTCCCGGGACTGCTGGGCAGGGCCAGCGGGCGGTGGGGCCGATGTGGGCGCCTGCCCCCACGCCCCTGAGGGTCTGGGGGTGCCCGGGAGCCCGTGGGCACACTCGGGGGACCCCGTCCCCGGAGTCACAATGCGCCTGTGCTCGGGGGTGCCGGGGGGATGATCTGGGGGTGCTGAGGGGAGGGTGGGGGTGGCTTCTCCCGCAGTGGGGCCTCCGGTGTGGCAGAGGTGCTGGACACTGGACGCTGTGGCCCCAGCAGCAAGGTGCCTTTTGCCCTCTGGCTCAGGAGGCCCCATGGAGTCACTGGGGGGGGGGGGTCGGGGTCCATTAATGCCAGAGATGGATAAAGACCCGATGCTCCGTCTGGTGATCGGATCAAAGCAAAGGGGGAGGACGAGTGGGGGAAACTAAGGACTTGATTTAAAGGTTAATTCCAGGATGCAAATGAGTCATTAAGGCTGGTGAGTTGGGGGGGGGACAGTGGGGTGGAGCACTGGCGGGCGGGACAGGGACACGCGCTGAGACGCCGGGATGCCGGGACCGAGACAAGGTACGTTCCTGTCCCGACCTTCTCAGCTCCACGGCAGCGTGGGGCAGAGGCTGCGCTTCCTGTGCTCATGCGGTAGGAGACGGGCACCTGGCACAGTGCTCAGGGCCTGCACCTGCGGCACCTCCCCTCAGGGCTCTAGTCTCGAACATGTCCTCCCCCTTCCTCCCTCCTTCCTTTCTTCCTTCCTCCCTCCCTCCTTCCTTCCTCTCTTCCTTCCTCCCTCCTTTCCCCCTCCTCCTTCCCTTCCTTCCTCCCTTAGTCCGTCCTTCCTTCCTTCCTTCCTTCCTTCCTTCCTTCCTTCCTTCCTTCCCTCCCTCCCTTCCTTCCTTCTTTCCGTCCTTCCTTCCTTCCTTCCCTCCCTCCCTTCCTTCCTTCTTTCTGTCCTTCCTTCCTTCCTTCCTTCCTCCCTCCCTCCCTTCCTCCTCCTCTTCCTTCCTTCCTTCCTTCCTTCCTTCCTTCCTTCCTTCCTTCCCTTTCCTCTCTTCCTTCCTCCCTCCCTCTCTTCTTCCTCCCTCCCTTCTTCATCCCTCCCTTCCTCCTTCCTTCTTCCTCCCTCCCTCCCTCCCTTCCTCCTCCTCCTTCCTTCCTTCCTTCCTTCCTTCCTCCCTTCCTCCCTCCCTCCCTTCCTCCCTTCCTCCTCCCTCCCTCCCTCCTTCATGTCTGGCGATTAACCAATTTTAAACCATACACAAACTCCAAATCCCAGCATCACCGAGCTCCGGGGACCCTAAGCCTCGGCTGCCTGGCGTCTCAGAGCTCGTCTGAACTCGAAGCATCATTTAATGTCATTAGGGTAAGAGCCGCAGCCTCCATTAACATTCCCCGTGCAGCGGGGTGAGTGGTTTCGATAAGGCGCGGCGCAAGTCCTCCTTGAAGGAGCCTCCGCATTATTGCAATTGTTCTGCGGCTGTGTAAAGCCTCGGGACGTTATCTTCCAATTACATATGACATGCAACACTTGGCGCCAACACCTGCCGCGAAGTTTCCCGAACACGGGAGGAAAACGCGCTCCTCTTATTAAATTAGCGAGGCCCCAATTCTGCATTATCTCCGGTTGCGCAGCTGTGCGCGTCCGGGCGTCCTGCCTGGGCCGTGCCACGGGAACCGCGAGCCGGAGTCATTTACTGCTTTGCCGGCTCGCCGAGGGGAGCCGACGCCCGCGGCAGCGGCGGCTAGAGGGAGCACTTACGATCCGCTTGCCCTCGATGAGCACGGAGGAGACGTTGGTCTCGACGTTGTGGAGGAGCACATCGCCCTTCTGCTCCCGGTAGATGAACTCTTTATCTGCGGAGAGAGAACAGAGACATCAACACCCGGGCGCGCGCGCACGGACGAGCCAGTTCTGAAAAGAGCCATGGGCCTCGAGTCTCATGTAGGGTGCTTGGAGCTTCTCTCTTCATCTTTTTTTTTTTGCTTTTTGGGGAGCACCCGGCGATGCTCAGGGCTGACTCCCCCAGCCTCGATCACTGCAGCCTTCCAGGGACTGCGTGGCGCCCAGACTGTCAGGATTTCTCTCTGTCACGTGACTTCCACGGGAACTAAGGCGAAAGGGAGTAAACGCCTCTCACCACTGCCCACTGAGATCTCCAAGCCTGCTCGGATCAGGGCTGAGCATCCTCCACCCAGATCCTCCAAATTCCAGTAGGCGGGGGTCACACCCACCAACTGGCCCCCTGGCGCCGTGTAATCCCATCAACGGCCAAGACTCAGAGACCATAAAACCCAGCTCCTGAAAGCATCTTATCATCTCATTCCTACTTTGGACAACCTGGCAGGCTACCGAATGTTACCTGCCCACAGGGCAGAGTCTGGCAAACTCCCCGTGGGTTACCCAATATGCCAAATACCAGTAACAATGATGGGTCTCGTTCTCCTAACCCTGAAAGAGCCTTGAATATGGCACTTTTTAAAAAATCTCAGGGCAAGGACGAAGGAGACGTTACTGGGGCCTGCTCGAGGTGATCGACGAACAACAGGATGGTCGTGATTGTGACCACTGCCCACTGCCCGTGGCCTTCCATCCTTTGCCCGAGAATGAATGGCTGGTGCCAAACACAGTAGCAAGAAGTCTCACAATGGAGACGCCACTGGGCCCGCTCGAGCAAATCGATCAACAACGGGAGGACCGTGACTGTGACTGCTTGGTGTGTGGTTTTCAGGAACGTCAGCGTGTTAGTCTGCGTGTGAATCTTTCCGGTTGCTCTCCCAGCATCCCGCGGGGCACACGGGGTGCTGGGGACCAAGCCCAGGATGCTGGGTTACAAGGCCAGCACCCTAACCCCTGTGCCAGCTCCCGGAACAGAGTGTTCTGCTCCAGTCTCATCGCGATGCCAGTCTGTTCAGGACTCTATTCACTGCTTGTCTGGGTGACTCACCCAGCAGTGCTCAGGGCTGACTCCGGCTCTGCACCCGGCATCACTCCTGGCAGGGCCTGGGGACCACGTGTGGTGCCAGGGTTATACCAGGGCTGGCTGCGTGCAAGGCAGGCGTCCCCTGCTGTCCCGTCTCTCGGGGACCCACGAGCTTTATTCCTCCTCTCTATTACATTTCGAATTTCTCGCTTCATTTGAACGACTTTTATTTGTACGTTCTCTGTGCTTCCATCATCATCTCCAAACAAAGATATCTAATTAATTTGGCCTTTTCAAATAATGACTTTTGGTTTCGCGAATTCCTCTTCCTTCCAATTTTACTCATTTACGCTATCTTATCATCTTTTTGTCTACCCTTAAGTTTGGCACTTGGCTTATTTTCAGCCTTTCTTCTCTGCTATAATGACGACTGGTGCTATAAATCTCTTTAATTGTTTCCTTGCTTGAGCACACAAGTTTTAATGAGCAGTATTTTCATTATTGTTTAGTTCTGCACATTTTTAGTTTCTGTTACAATGTCTTTTTTTTTAATTTATGAGTTGTCGAGTAATTTCAATTTGCAAATGTATGGAAAATAAAGATTTATCTTTTTCCCTCTTATTGACATGTAATTTGTCTCTACTGCAGAGAAGCTCCAACTCTTAATTCTCTGCAACGTGCTGGGGTCTCGGGCCGCATCTGCTCGTTCCACGGGGGGGTCTGAGGGGTCGGGGCTGCCACCGGCTGCTCTTAGGTTCTGCCCCACTGGGTAGGCCGCTGTTGAACCGCCTCCTTTTCTGTTTGCTTTTTGGGTCACACCCGGCGATGCACAGGGGTTCCTCCTGGCTCCGCACTACTCAGGAATCACTCCTGGCGGTGCTCAGGGGACCCTATGGGATGCTGGGAGTCGAACCCGGGTTGGCCGCATGCAAAGCAAACACCCTACCCGCTGTGCTATCACTCCGGCCCCTGAACGGCCTCCTTGGCACTGCCCTTTCTTGATGCCCCTGGCCGGACAGCAGGCCAATCCCCGCTGGGGTTTCCTAGTTCCGTGAAGGACTCACTCACGCTCCTTTGGGCCCACGGTTGTGTCAGTTTCATTCAGTCAACACCAATTTAGAACCTTTTCTTTCTTGGTTGTTCTTGGGTCACCTCTGAGGGTGCTCAGGGGTCAGTCCCGGCCATGCCCGCGGGACACAAGTTGGCTCAGTGCCAGGCTGACCGACACTCTCCCCACCTCCCCGCGATCTCCCCGGACCCTAGAATGTTCTCGTCCTCCTGCAGAGATCAGCTTCTGTGAGCGATGCATGCCTGGTCCCAAGGGTGTGTCTGTAACAGCGGTGCCTGCTGCCCTGTCCGGGGATGCCCTGCGTTGCTCCGTGAGCTGGCGTGTGCGTAACATGGGCAGCCGCTGGTCTGCAGGCTGGCCTTGGCCACTCCCAGGCCAGCTTCCACGTCACCGCAGGCCCCTCCCCGCCAGCCTCCGCGTCTTCCCTGACCACCCACCCGTGCTCCCATCCTGGTCTCTGTCTCGCCCTTCCTGGGACCTCTCAGTGCCTCAAGGGGACCCCATGCAGGGTCCAACAGAGGCGCCCAGCCCTGAGCACAGCTCTCAGGAGGCACAGAAGGTCGCAAAACAATGACAAACAAAACCTGAACTCGGGTTATTTTTTTCTGGTTTACATCAGGGGAACGGCCCGAGGGAGGCGATTTCGGCTGGAAGGGGGGTGTGGGGTCTCCCCAAACGCTGGCCTTCCCGCTCGGCCATGGCCAGCAGCACGGCGTGGACAGAGCAGGTGCCACCCCCACCCGCAGCTCTGCGCCCCTGCCAAAGGCCTCCTGTGCCTCGGGGCTCCCTCCCGGGGGGGGGGTCCTCTGCCGAGAAGTGGCCCCCTCGCCCACAGCTTCTGACGGCCGGCCCACTGCTGAGTCCAGGAGGAAGGTCACAACATCACCTGAGAGGCGCTTCCCGCCTCTGTGAAAGACCGAGACCTTTCAGGGGACCCAAAGCAGACGCTCGAGCCCGACTGCGGCAGTGTCTGCTCAGGGACCCCTTGCGTGCTGGACAGGCCCGCGGGGCCGGGCAGACACCGATCACCAAGGCGCAGCGTGCTGGGCCACACAGATGAGTGGACAGGGCTGAAGATGGGAGAGCGACTGCCGGCAAATGGCCCAACGAGCCCCTCGAGGGTCCGAGGGGACGGACTCGGGCACTGGGGCAGTGGGGAGGGAGGCAAGTGTCGGCGAGGCAGAGCCCAGAGTCCAGGGACGGCGGCATCCATGGTGCTCTGCAGGCAAACTGCTCCCTCGAAGCCCGGCCCTTGGTGCAGGCCCCCAGAGTGCCGACCTCGGGGGTGGGCAGGTCCTGCCGCTGAGGAACGTGTCGCTTCATCACACACAGCTGCACTGAGGGGCCTCCTGGCCAGCCCAGTTGGACACCCAGCTCAGGGGATCCTGGGCCTCACGCCAGTTGCCCACCCCCCAGAGACACCCCAACCTGGGTGTGTGGGCGCGGAGCGCAGTGTTGGCACTGCCAGAACCTTCAGGCAGAGAGGTGCGGGCAGGACTGAGCACAGTCGGGTTGGGCGAGGTCTGACTATGCAGAAGTCCACTTGCCGGTGGGGGTTTGACTGCAGGGGTCCGGCTGTTGGGGGGTGTTACTGCAGGGGTCCGGCTCTGTCCAACCATCTGCACAAGCTGCATGAATGCACGTCCCGTATGCCAAGTCCTGTCCCACTGTGGACACTGGCCCAGCCCATCCTCTCGCCTGCCTGCGGGCACCGGGTCTGCAGGCTGGCTGCTGTAACGGTGCTGGACTCATCCCCCATATTGTGCCTTTGGGCCTGGGGTACCTTCCCAGGGGCGGAGCTGCTGGGGCATATGGGGCTCACTTCCTGTCTCTGAGGGATGCCCATGTGGCCTCCACACAGGTGGGGCCCAGGGGTGAACGAGGGCCGCGCCCTGCCCAGCACTAGGGCTCGTTCTCTCTGACAAGGGCCAGTCTCTGGGGTGAAGCGACACTTGCTGTTTGATCTGTGTTCCTTGTGCAGTAAGGAACGTGTATTAGGTTTTTTGGGGATTAAAGCACACCCACACACGCACACACACACACACACACACACACGCAAGGACATGCCCATATGCACGTGCAAATGCACACACACAAACACATGCACACACACACAAACGCACACATATACACACATGTATACATGCACGTGCACGCACACACCCCTCTCTCCCAGCTCTTCCTTCACGGCCAGCTCTTCCTTGCTGAGTTGCCCACTGGGAGGTGACGGGCACCTGCTGCCGTCCCCAGCTCTCCTGTGCTAGAATGTCTCCTTCAGAACGACCAGTGCTTATTTTAAGCATTTTGCTGGCCCCTCATTAAGTGCGTACGTATTTGGGAGTATGAGTTCTTCCTGGTGTCCATGACCCTGGTCATTAGAAATGACCTCTCGGTCTCTTACAGCTTCTATAAGCCCCAAGCACGGCCACCCCAGCATTTTATTTTGGGGGCGGGGGTGGTTGTTGGCTTGAAATATTGTCTTTCAATCTTTGACTCTGAGTCTGCATTTGCCCTTATTGTTCAAATGTATTTCTTGTAGGCAGAAGGTTGCGTTCAATGATCTAATCCAGCCTGCCACTCTGTCTTCCTTAATTGGTACATTTAGTCCATTGACAGTGAGTGAGATTATCATCATGGAGTTTTGGGCCATCTTTCTGTAAGAATTTGGCGTGCCTGTGAAATTTCACCTTTCCTTAACGTGGCCTTTTCAGTTCCTGCAAAGTTGGTTTCAAATCTCTGAAGGTCCTAAGCTGCTCCTTACCTGTGAAGTTCTGTAATGTTCCTTCAAATATGAATGAGTCTGGATGAGTACAGTATGTAACGTGTTCATTTCATTGTTCTTAATTTCTTTTTTCTTTTTGAGT